TCCTGGCCCAAGGGCTGCATTCTGTTCGGGGCCGCCATGAGAGAGCTGAGGGCCTGTGGTGGGCGGGGCCAAAGGCAGAGGTGGGTGGAGAAATCGATGCTGACTCACCCAGACACACCTGACCCCATCACCTCCATCCAGAAAAGCAAGAGGCATTGTCAGAGTCCACAGACACAGGCAAAAACACTGAAGGAGGAGGCAAAGTAGAATTGTGGGCGTGTGACCTGGGCAGGCCTGTAGAGCTGCATTTGGCACCTGGGCCTGAGGGTCCTCACTCTTGCCATAGGGGCCCACAATCCCTGGGTTCTAGAGGTGTTAACATAGGAGCATATGCCAAGTCTACACTGACTGGCAGCACCTCTCGAAGGTTCCAGGCAGGGGACATTCGCAGCCCTAGCTGGAGATGCCAGGGATTCAACATTGCACACGTGAAGCCGATTCTCTGCCGCTGAGCTTTGCCCGCTACATATATTCAGCATTCATAGAGGATGTTGTCCAGGCCTCTGAATTTCTTGATACCAGAGAGCAAATGTATGGCTACAAGTTTTGGCACGAATAAAGAAAGAACTCAAGAGGTGGCACAGTATGGGCCTATCAGCGGGTACCATTGGCTCCCAGAGCCCAGTTAGATTTGCTGGGCGATTGTGTATGTCAACTGCATTTTGCCTTGTTCACATATAAGGTGGGAGCGAGACCTACGTTTTATGCCATAAAGGAGCACCTGAGGGAGCAGAGAAACCTGTTTCTTCTCCAGCCTTACCTCTCTTGCTTGGCTCTCTTTTGGTACTGGGGCTGGCGGGGGGGGGGGGGCGGGGACAACTGCTGTTCAGGGAACAGCTGAAACTCAGTGTTAGACCATCCACTCTGTGCAGAAGGGCCCCCAAATATTTATGAATATGGAATTCATGCCAGCAGCATCTCCAGGAAGCGCTAGGAGTGTCCCCTGCGTCAAACTCTGGAGAGCCTTGGCTAGTGAACACAGACGATACTGAGCTACAGGAGGTGGACCAAGTGTCCGACTCAAATCCTTTCACTCAGCCTGATGTGTTTGCGGGGAGATCAGACGTTGCTGACAACCTGATGGGCATTTTTATTTGTTTGCGGAGTGGTTAGATGACGCCCCACGCTTTCCAGTCACTCTCCTTATGGCAGAAAGTCTGGTCCTTTTGTGGGGAAGTGGGTTAGTTGGCACAAGACCTCCCAGTCAACTCTTAATTGTGCAGCCTGAATTGGCTGGTAGGTAATTGAATTCCACCCAGGAAGAGTGACAGTCTAGAAGTGCCCTTGGTATAAGGCAGCTTTCTATGTCCTTATGCTTAAAAGCAGCAGAGTGTGTCAAGGTAAGGCAGGGAAGCATGGTGGAATTTTTGCTCCCTTCTTTCTTTCTCTGTCAGGCATGCAGCCTCCCTCCCTCCTCAATTCCTGCTTGCTTTATGAAGAGGGCAAGCATGTATTTCACATGCATTTGCCCAGCACACAAAGTTTGGCCCCAAGATCTAAGACCCTGGGCTGAGAGAAGCAGGGAATGGAGGAAGAGTCCTTGCCTTACAATGTTTTGTGCATGCTCCTGTATATTCTGCATGCAGTCCACTCCCAGTGCTGGCTCGCGAAGTGGTGTACACACAGTGTTAGCCACAATGCAAATCTATCCTGTCATTTCTTCTGAAATATTGTATTTGATGCATCCTCCCCCCAAACCAGCTTCAATCCAAACTGAGCTGCATTTCAAGCAGGTAATGGGCACACAGCCTGTGTTTCTCTCCAGCCCTATTTGCTAGGTGGGAGAGGGGTGGGTATATAAGTGGCCTTCTGGGGCAGGGGCCATTTGAAACTCACCACCAGTCCTCTTGGCTGGCAGTTAAAATTTTGCTTTCTCCAGAATTACCCATGCGACCATTGGCCTTTATCTCAGGGATCTGCCGATCCCAGGTGAGGTGTCTAAAAAGTCCCTACAAGGCCCGTTATTGACTGAACTTGTTGCTGATGCCAGGCTCAAGCTAAACAGGAGGTACTCCTCAAGCAAGGGACAAGGGTCGTCCAGGATAAATTACCCCTCCTCAAATTCACCATATTCCTTCTCCTGTGGGACAGGGCAGTATGGGCAAAAGTGGAGCAGGATGATGGCAACATTTTTAAATGGAATCCCCTGTAATGATCACTTGTTTATCTCGTATATGCCATCCATTTTATCAAAAGGGACTGCTTTGACACTTGACTTTGAAAAGGGATTTGTCTTGTTTAGAAGGGGAACAAACCGTCCTAACCCAGCCTTCTTCAGCTGTGCTGACTGGGGTTGATGGCAGTCGTAGGATGCCTCCAGACTGTCAATATTTTGCAGAAGGGATTCAAGCGCCCACCAATAAATTGTTGTCTTTGCATAATTAAAGTGGATTAAAGCACTCTGTTGCCCTAGCACAAGTCCACTTTTAAAAAGTAGCCAACTTTTTGCAGGTAGGAAGGTGACGGGGAAATGTTGAATGAACAAATGACTAATGGGAAGACATATAAACTCTACACAAGCAAATCAGGATGAATGCTCATTGTTGTATAATAATAATAATAATAATAATTTTTTATTTGTACCCCGCCCATCTGGCTGGGTTCCCCTAGCCACTCTGGGCGGCTTCCAACAAAGATGAAAGATACACTAAAATGTCACATATTAAAAACTTCCCTGAACAGGGCTGCCTTCAGATGTCTTCTGAATGTCAGGTAGTTGTTTATCGCTTTGACAATGTCGCCAGTAGATTGGGACAAATGCTTAGTAAAGACTGGATTATAATCTAATCTCCACATAAACTTGGTGCAAGCAAATCAGGGTGAATGCTCAATAAATAAATCATCTGGAAGAATACATAGTCCCAAACATCTGAGGGGAGTCAGGTTGGAAAAAGTTGTACTAACCTTATGGGTTAGGCCAAATTATTGTGAGCTAATAATTTTGATGAGCTAATTTGGAAGGCTGGTATAGCGTATCCTTTGTTAGAGCACAATGGTGGGCTAGATCAGAGCCTGTTATCCAACAGCTTGTGGACTGATTCCAGTCTGTGAAATAATTTTTTAGCAGTTTTAGTAATCTCATTACATTCAATGCCCCTTTCAGACATAAGGTGTATTTTGGAGCCGTAGGACAGGCACTGATCTGGGATAATTTTGGGGCAGCTGCTTCTAATTCATAGGATTTATTTGAGAACTCCACTCTTTAGAAGTCCTTACAGTGATTCATCCTTTGCAAGGGCAGGGAATAGGCAGGGAATCTGAATTAATTGGGGATCCATTCATTATGTCTGGGAACCTGAGAAATAGTGACGGTATTCAGTCTCTCTTTTGTGTGGTGAAAGGTACTGTTCTGTAGTTGCCATCATGTATAGGGCGCACTGCCAGGCATATTTAATTAAAAATGAGAAAAACAAAAATATCCCCAACTCCTGCAAAATAAGTATTTAGTAGCATAGTCCAGAGTTTATGCTGTCTGTTGAATGTTGAGCTGAAATATAACTGTTGAGTAACAAATGTAACTTTCGCTCTGGAAAAATAATAAAATATTACTATACTGTACAAAATAGAGAGAGAGAGATGATGCAAATGCTACCAGTTCTTTTTAACTGGTGATACCAGGAATTGAACCTGGGATGTCCTGTACGTGAAGCGTGGCTCTGCCACTGAGCTATGGCCCCTTTCTCCATGATCCAGGTGGATTCATTACCCCCCCTCCCCATCCTTAGAATGTACTCACAGTCAGAGTGCCTGATGGGCAGAGAAAGGTCCAGCTCTGTTTCCTGCAAGGGCAACTGACTCTGTATGAGCTTCTGCTGAAACCTACTACTCTTTGAGAAAGCAGCATAATGAACATGGTCCCATCCATGTGAATTGGGAGCACGATGTCTTCCAAAGTATTCTTGAAACACATTGCCACCAGAATTTAAGCATTTCCTTGCAAATCAGCAACAGATATTGTGACACACTCCCTGCCATCAGGGGAAGCACTGATTTCCTTTGGATAAGATCGCAGAAGAGTTTGGCTGTAATCCTATATGGCATTTGCCTGGAAGTAAGCACGGGTGGCGCTGTGGTGTAAACCACTGAGCCTTGGGCTTGCCGATTGGAAGGTTGGTGGTTTGAATCCCCACGATGGGGTGAGTTCCCATTGCTCGGTCCCAGCTCCTGCCCACCTAGCAGTTCGAAAGCATGCCAAAAAGCGCAAGTAAATAAATAGGTACTGCTCCGACGGAAAGGTAAATGCCGTTTCCGTGCGCTGCTCTGGTTCTCCAGAAGTGGCTTAGTCATGCTGGCCACGTGACCCAGAAAAACTGCAGACAAATGCCGGCTCCCTCGGCCAGTAAAGCAAGATGAGCGCCGTAACCCCAGAGTCGTTTGCGACTGGACTTAACTGTCAGGGGTCCTTTACCTATACCTTTTAAGCCCCGTTGAACACAGTGAGGCTTACTTTCAGGTAGACAGACCTAGGATTGTGGCATAAAGCTCTCTTCCTAATATTTACATTGTTTGCAAATGTGCTGGGAGATCAGAGATGTAAACAAAGCTCACTGTGTTCAGTAAGTGTGCACAGAAAGTGTGCCTTAGGTCCCTCTGTCACGTCCGTATGTGCAAGCCTCTAGTCATGTCATCAATCACTCCAAAGTACTAAAAAAAAAGGTAAAGGACCACCCCGTTGCAGCCCTTAAGCTGCCTACGGTGTATGATCAAAATAACCCGATACACTGTACAAGAGGTGGGGAATACGTGACTCTCCAGATGTTGCTGAACTACAACTCCCATCAGCCTCAGCAAACATGGCCAGTGGGCAGGGATGATGGCAACACCTTGAGGGCTACAGGTTCCCCCCCTGCTCTGCACAGAGGAAGTATATTTTACACCTTTAAAGGGGATACATTTGGTGGGAAGGAAATTTGACTTATATCATCATTAACCTTCTTCGCATTGTTACGATATGCTGCATTGTGACAGATCTTCTTTGGCGCTTCTTTTCGTTTCCGTAGGTCTGGTGAAGCTGGGCGTACACTGCATCACAGGGCAGAAAGTGGCGATTAAGATTGTGAACCGGGAAAAGCTTTCCGAGTCAGTACTGATGAAGGTGAGCATGTGGGTTTGTTTGTTGGGAATGGTGTAAGGGCAGCGAAAAATGAAAATGGAAGCAGGTGGAGATGGATGTGCAAACCAGAGAGATACATAAATATAAAATACCTGCTGAGTCTCAGTCTCTGGCCCTGCACTTCATCTTTACAGAAATTTCAACCCAGGTTGCCTTGCCAGATGTGGTCAGACACATTCACAGCCTACACAGCATGGCTTGGAATGAATTTACTAGCAGGTACCTCACTGCAGAGAGAAGTGCAAAACACTATCAGACCCTCGCCAAATGCAGACATTGGTGAGTTAGAAAGCAGGAAGAAGATGCAGAAACTAGTAAAAAATGCTGGGCTTGTTTGTTGTTTGTTTGATTTGGATGTCATCAGAGTGGTACCTCCTGTTGAAGGATTGACCCTCTAAATTCCTTGGCTGAAAATGAGAACTGAGAAAGCGCAGAAAATAAAGCAAGATTAAAAATGGGCGAGCTCACACGGTTCCCGTATTCCAGACTTATCTTGCCAGATGTCACATGATACAGAAGGCCTGCCTTGTTTCTGGACCAGCGTCCTTTGCAAGGTTTAGCATGAGCCGATGGCATCGCCAGCCTTCATCAGTATACTAGGCCTCAGTCCAGGACTTTGACTTAGTCCACATGGCAGCAGTTTAATCACATGGTGCGGATCAGCTTAGTTGGAGCATTTCCCCCTCGCGCTGGTGTGATTTCCCCCCCCCCCTTTCCTGAAGTTTGTGCTGACATGGAGAAAATCCCTGAACGATGAGCTGCTCCACATGCCATGTGATATTAGCTATGCTATGGAGCAGTTTTGAGCAGTTTTTCTGTGGAGGCTGTAACATGTAAAGAACACACACAAAAACCCCTGTCCATTTGTCAGACCATGGGAGAAAAGGAGCTTGAAGCTTTGAAACGAACAGTGAAGATGTTTCTCACTTGCCACTCGCCAAGGCCAGAACGAAACGTTCAGCAGCTGACACAATCCTGTGTCCCCTTCTGATATACCAGGTGGGGTGGGGAGGGGAGGCTTTGCACACGCGGAGGCATATGCAAGATTGGAAGCGCCGTGTTTGGCAACATCAGGTGGTGCCCCAGCAGAGGCAGGCTGGCAAGCTGGAGACAGACAGGCTAGGAGCCGAAATCTGGAGGTAAAAATGGGGCACCAGGTGGTCTCCCTCTGCAAGACATTGCCAGGCTGAAAGAAATCAGCAGGTCTGCAAGCCTTTGGGCTGTTTCAATTGACCTATTTATGGAGCATTTGCCTTGATTTGCTTGCACAAAGTTTATGTGGAGTTTAGATTATAATCTGGCATTTATTTTGATTTGGTTGTGGAGGGGTTACATGACAATGAGCATTCATTCTGACTTGCTTGTGGGGTGTTTATACTTCCCATGAATCATTTGTTCATTCTACACTTATAAACACCTTTCTGCATCATTTCGCTAACTGCAAAGAGGCTGATTATTTTTTAAGTGGATTTGTTGCACCAGGGTGACAGAGCTCTTTGATTGCACAAACGTAAATTTCCTAATTTAGGTTTGGGGTCACGAAGAGTCGGACACGACTAAACGACTAAACAACAATAAATTTCCCAAAATGTTTGACTTCCTCCTGCAAATACAATCTATAGGCACCTTAAATATCCCTCAGTAGCATCAGGTTGGCCCAGCAGCAGCATCTGACTTCCTAGGCTTGAAGGATCATAGGCTGGCATGGCAAACTCCTGGCTGGAGGGGCTTGTACTTATTTATTTATTTATTTATTCAATTTAATATACCACCCTTTATCAAAAGGTCTTGGGGTGGTGTTCTCTTAGACTAGCAGCCTTGGTGGCCGTGTGAGCCACTGCCTGGTTTAAAGGACTCCTGGGTCAATATTTGTAGTGCTGAACATCAAAAGTTGTAGAATCCATGCCATAAATTTAAGGCACATTGCTCCCCCTCCCAAAAGAAATACTGGGAACTGTAGTTCACCCCTCACAGAGTTACAACTCCCAGCACCCCTACAGTTGCTATATTTCAAAAAGAAAAAACCAGACAAACCCCAAAGTTGTGGAGCTTCCCCCCCCCCCAATGCCTAAAAAACACAATTTTTCGATTGACTTGCCTAAGATCCAGGACAAAGCTCCGCCTTCTGGAAATTCCCCCCGGATGTCAATTCTGCCTATGTGCTTTAAATGTGCATATGATGTGGATATAACCCACAGTTCCTGACAGAGCTTTAGACATAGCCAACCTGGCTTGTCTTTCTACTTTCTATTGAGTCACATCCACCACTGTCGATTTTTTATTTTGTTTGATTGAGACCTCCTCCAGCTGGCTGGAAACCCACTCCAGGCATCTTGCACAAATAATACCTCATAAATTATTTCAAACTCTCTTCTTTCACAGAGAACCCAGGAGGAAGCTCCTCTTCTGTAGATCCTAGGACATGGGCAGTGCTCAAAAGAGTTTGTTCTTTACCCCCTGTATATAACCACACATGCATTCTCTCCCTCTTCCTTCTAGGTGGAGCGGGAAATTGCCATTCTGAAGCTGATTGAACACCCCCATGTGCTCAAACTCCATGATGTCTACGAGAACAAAAAATATTTGTAGGTATTTATTTGCAGATGGCCTCCCTCTCCCCCCCAGCCCCCCCCCATATTCACATGTCCCCATCAGAGTGGAGCAGAGCTTCCTATGAGCAAGTCACTTCCTAGCTTGAATGGGGGGTGGGTGGGTAGCGTACTTTGTTTGTTGATATACAGTGGTGCCTCGCAAGACGAAAATAATCCGTTCCGTGAGTCTCTTCGTCTAGCGGTTTTTTCGTCTTGCGAAGCAACCCTATTAGCGGTTTAGTGGATTAGCGCTATTAGCGGCTTAGCGGCTATTAAAGGCTTAGCGGCTTAGAAAGGGGGGGGAGCGGAAAAAAATCGCAAGACTCGCAAGACGTTTTCGTCTTGCAAAGCAAGCCCATAGGGAAAATTGTCTTGCGAAGCAACTCAAAAACGGAAAACCCTTTCGTCTAGCGGGTTTTTCGTCTTGCGAGGCATTCGTCTTGCGGGGCACCACTGTATCTGCTGAGGATCCTCTTTCCAGGACAAATTCTGGGGATCCCTTCTAGTCAGGTTTGTAGCCACAAGGGATCCTGGTCCACCTCAGGGATATTCTAAACTTCTTCCCTGAACATTCTGCTTCCTTAAAAGCAAAACAAAGCATGCTAAATCTGCAATCCTAACCACACCTAATCTGGGAGTAAGCCTGGTTGATTTAGATGGGCCTTACTCCCAGGTAAGTGGGTGGTTGTGGTGGTTGCTGCTGCTGCTGTTATTATCATTATTTTCCCCAGTGCTTTTTCCTGGGGGGGGGGGTGCAGAGGGATGCATACCCCTAAAACATGGGAACATGGGTGGGCAAACTAAGGCCTGGGGGCTGGATCCGGCCCAATCGCCTTCTAAACCCGGCCTGCAGATGGTCCAGGAATCAGCGTGTTTTTACATGAGTAGAATGTGTCCTTTTATTTAAAATGCACCTCTGGGTTATTGTGGGGCATAGGAATTTGTTCATTTTTTCCCTTCAAAATAGAGGCCGGCCCCCCACAAGGTTTGAGGGACAGTGGACCGGCCCTCTGCGGAAAAAGTTTGCTGACCCCTGCCCTAAACATTTTATGAATCTTAAGTTTTGCCTCATTGAGGGGGTAGTATTTCAATATGAGTAGGAAATTGAGAGTACCACTAAACATTTTTTTAAAGGAAAAAAGCACTGGTTTCCCCCAAATAATCCTGGGAACTGTAGAGTACCCCCCTCACATAACTACAGCTCCCAGCACCCTCATCAAACTATGGTTCCCAGGAATCTTTGGGAGAAGTCACATATTTTAAATGTGTTTGCATGCTTAGCCTCCTTCCCTTTTACCTGTGGAGAGATGAGGAAAAAGCATGCTGGCAGGGTTATACTGAATTGCTCCCTAGAGGCCATGTTAACGTTGAACAACTTAGAAAACAAACAGTTACGACCTTCCACGACTCTCTCTTAATAAAAAAAGCAGCCACAAGAGGTCCTGAGCAGGATTGGGGCATTGGTGCAGGGAAGGGAACTTAATTCTTTGACCTTGTGCTGCTTCCTTGCCAAAAATCCCCTCCATAACAGCATCTTCAGGGACAAATAGCAGCTTTTTTCATTGTTGTTAAGAAAGGGGGCTGCTGGGCCTTAATCACTTCTTAAAAGGAGCGTGCTTAATATAATAATGCGAAGTCTGACCCTGAGAAGTAATTTTAAACGTGGTTAGGCGGCTGGCGTCTATGTTTCTGGCTGTTCTGCGATGATTTCCCCTCCCTTGCTGCAACTGCGTTTTTGGCTTTGGGCCTACTTTGGTGTGCTCGCCAGGCCATACATATGGCCACTGGAAGCCAGGATGCCAACATGTGATAAATAATAGCCTGTGCGGTTGTGGAGCCGGTTCATGCTTCTGTCATGCTCAGAGCTGATCTCCTCCTTTCTCTGCGCTCAAACCCAAAACACCGCCAGTCCTCTCCCCCCTTCACACCTCCACAAAACCCGCTGCTCCCTTTTGCACAGACGCATTGCTGGCAGCTAGGTGCTTCTTTTTCTCCATTCGGATTTGAAGCTGGTTCAGGGGGGTGGAAAGCCACATCGAAACGGCATCGTTTGCTAAGAAACGACAAGGCAGGTGCTGGTTAGGCGTGGGTTTGTGTTTCATGTTGTGTGTACACACGGCGGGAGCCACAGGCTGAGCAAACCGACTATTTTTGTGTGTGTTTAGTGCGACAGAAATATTAGCTGCCGAAACATTTATTTGCGGAGATCAGGTGAGAGTAGACGCCTGGTTTCTGCGTGTCAAGTCTGCTGTTAAAGGCAGAGGGACGGGATCCGTAAAATAACACATTTTTTAAAAAAAGAAAAGTGTTTGGCGATCCCATCTGCGTCTGAAATTCTTGGCACCGTGGGGTGGTTTCCTAGGTAGGAGATAGCTGTGTTGCTGCATGTGTGTGAAGATCGCCAGAGCGGCAGAGCCTCTGTGAACATGTGTGTGTGTGGTGTGTGTGTGTGTGGTGTGCGAGAGGGCCGTCCAGAATACCAGGCGGTGCCAGACAACTGGCAATCCCCACACATAAGCTCTCTTTGTCATCCTCCTCCCGCTGACACAATGGGAGGAGGTGTTTGTGTGAGTGAGAGAGAGAAAGAGGTTGGAGGAAGAGGCTGCTGCCTTGAGGAAATAATTTTGCATTGTAAAACCATTTGAAATGAAATTCAAAATCTTTCCTCCTGGCAGCTTCTTCCTCCAAATCTTTTGTGTCTTACCTATAGGTAGGGTATTTTCCGTTAGGGAAAATAGACCTCAGTGCCTGGGGCCTACGAAACTCCCAAGGGCCTATGGAAAAGTTTGAGGCCTACAAAAAATCCAATTAAAGCAGGTTGTTTGGTTTAGCAGTTTATGAAATCATTCCTCGACATACAGGTATATTACGTCTTAAGTAAATGTAAATTAAATATTAACTTTGAGGCTGCTTTCGCTGGCAAAATCACAGGTGACTTTCATTTTTTAATTTTTAATTTTTTTGCAAAAGCTCATTCTTAATGGAGAGTAGTGCAAGCAAAGAGAGCCTTGCAGTGTTCTCTTGTTTATAGAGATTATGGGACCTATATAACATAAATATCTATCACTTGGTCTGTGTTGGAGGGCTACAATTATGAGAGTGCTTGGGGCCTGCAACTACTTTAATCTGTGCCTGAATAAGAGGTCTCCTTTATTGGCAAAAACTATTTTGTGTGTGTGAAGTGGGGAAAGAGTAAAGAAACTTCCAAGCTCTCTCAAGATAGATTTTTGGTTGTTGTTTTTTTAAATCACTTCTGTCCAGTGTACCCTTAGGCTTCCCCGTTACAACCTTTGAGAATTAGGTTGATGTGGACTTGAAATGTACTGTAATTTACTTGGTAGGGAGACGGGAGGTATAATAATAAATCTATGGCCTTTATATTGTGGGGGGTATTATTTTTGTTATTAATTTTTGTGTTTTTATATTGTAAACTGCCTTGCGATCCTCAGGTGAACGGTGTTATAGAAATATTAATAACAATATCAATATTAGTGGTGGTGGTGCAGGGCAATCTTGAATACATCTACTCAGGACTGAGTTCCAACATAATGCTAAACCGTGGTTTGTTTTAATCATGTTCAACAAACTAAGTTGCCTCACAGACGGCCAAACAAACCATAGCTTGTTTCTCCAGAGCTTGGTTTGTTTTCCAGCTGCTTTTTGCCAAGCAATGCCTTTGGAGCTTGGTGTGGATCTGGGACGGGGTGGCCAAACAAAGTCCAATTAAGAAGGCTGGACATAACAGCAAACCATAGTTTTAAAAAGCCACGATTCCAAAAGTCAACCATAAACTATGGTTTCACATGGTTAGTCTGTCGGGCCAGGTTGATATGTTCAGAGAAACCTTAGTTAGGCTAAACAATCCATGGTTTGGCATACTGTGCAAACCAGGTAATTGAACTGATGGGACTTTATTGCTGAATAATTATGCCTAGGAGCGCCATATGATGTAAAATTGGGAGTGAGAACCATTGAACACTGCGGGGACTTACTTCCAAGCAGAAATGCCTAGGTTCATGCTGTTGCAAACTGTTGTAATGTCCTGAGAGCCAAAGACCACTTTAGACATCGCGTGGAAAGCACTTATAATAGTAATAACAATAATAACAATTTACTGCCCATCTGGCTGCTCCCAACAGAATATTAAAAACACAATAAAACATCAAACATTAAAAGCTTCCCTAAACAGGTCTGCCTGCAGATGTCTTCTAAAAGTCAGATAGTTGTTTATTTCCTTGACATCTGATGGGAAAGCCCTCTGCCTGGTTCCCTGTAACTTCACTTCTCACAGTGAGGGAACTGCCAGAAGGCCCTCGGAGCTGGACCTCAGTGTCCGGGCTGAACGGCACTTATATGTTTAATATATGGCATGCTTAATGTATTGTCAACAGTCCTGTGTGAGATTGCTCACATGTGTATTTAGCTGCATGTGGTGGTGTACACAGAATGCCGGCTGGGAACCTGGGGCTGGTTACACTTTCCTCAGTGCAGATGCAACTAAGCAAAGTGTGAAGCCGCTGCTACCACCCATGACTTGTACATTGCCCAGTTTTTATTTCAGAGAAGTGCTTTCCATGAGGCAATTTTGTCATGTTTGCAACAGCTGTGGCTTCTCTCTTTTGGGTTCTACAGCTACAACAGCTGCTGTCTGCACAGTGTTTTGGGATTTCATAACAGCCGGTAATTCATCTTACCCAAAAGTGACTTGAAGAGACATTGAACTGCTCATCCTTGTTCTTTCTATAGCAGGGATGGGCAACCTATCGCCATCTTGATGTTGGCACTCCAACTCCCATCAGCCGCAGCCGGCGTTGCCAAAGGTCTGGGGTGATGTGAGTTGTAGTCCAACAACATCTGGAAGGCACCAGGTTTCCCATCCACCTTCTGTGGCAAAGCATTCAGCTTCCTTTTCTCCCAGCCTGCTTTGCAGTTGCTCCAGCTTAGAAGGAATTCGGTGAGGTTGTTCTCCACAGGGGGCCCGATGGATTCTCATAACCTCTTTCCCGATTTTCCCTGCTTCTCGGTCCCTCTGCCTCCTTCCGCGTCAGATACCTTGTCTTGGAACATGTCTCAGGAGGGGAACTCTTTGACTACTTGGTGAAGAAGGGACGCCTCACACCCAAGGAAGCCAGGAAGTTTTTCCGACAAATTGTCTCAGCTTTGGATTTCTGCCATAGCTATTCTATATGGTGAGTATCTTCCCTCTTCTCCTCGGCTGCTCATTGCCTGTTGCTGTTATCACATATTGCTAAGTAGCTCTTTTTTTTCCCAGCAGGAAAGGGGGAAAATGATTTTTCTTATGGTTTATTTTTCTTCTGCTGCCATAGCATTTTGTTCCCTTGGTATTGTGTAAGTATTGATTGTGTTGTATTCTGTCTATGATGCTTTATTTCAAAGTCCTCATTTTGTAAGCCACTTTGAGCTATCAAAATAATAGCTTACCTGTCTATTTATTTAATCATCATCATAACCATCATGCTGTCCCATCCCTGAGTCGCTGAGACTGTGTTTGGATCTTCCACTACCTTATGGACCACTGAAATGTGCTTTGTGGCTGTACAACCAGAGTGAGGAACCTCTTTCAGTCTAAGGACCACATTGCCTTGTGGGCAACTTTTCTGGGGGCCCTGTGCCGGTTGTGGTTGTGGCTAAAGGCAAAAGTGGGTGGAGCATTGGCTGTGACTCCAGTCTTAGCCTTTGTCCAGTAGGTTATGTCCCAGCTGTTCAAAAGCCAGAGGTTTCTCTCTCTGCCTACACTTCTCTCTCCATCTTTCCTCCAAGGCAAACAAGAGGCATTAGCAAAGCTCAAGGAGCTTGTGAGAAAGGCATGAAGCAGAGGCCAGTGATGGGTATAGCCTGGAAAGGGAGGTGGGGTTTTGAGAGAGTCCTAGGGGTCAGATAGTGAGGCCTGAAGGGCCTTAGGTTTCTCTTCCCTTCTGCACAGCCCAACCAGACCAAGGAAAAGCCATTACCTACTCTGTTCCGCATATTGAGCTGCTGTTCAGGGGTGCAAAGACAGTGATAAGTTGGCAACTCTCGTTGCAACAATTGTAGGCTTAGGTTGATTGAAATTTGCAGCTTCAGTTTCAGATTCACTGAGGAGAGGCTGAAGTGAGCAAAGTACAAAAAATCTCTGGCCACTTCAGGAGCTCTTGACTTACTTTGCCCTGATCTTAGTACGCAGGACAGTTTCTGTAGTAGGGTAACATGGTGAATTGTGAATAACCCAGGAGAGTCAGCAAGGAGGGCTAGCTGAAACACCCTGCTGTTCATTGTGTGTTTTGGATGATTTCTCAGGGCAGCAACTCTGGGATAGCTACTTCGTATTCTGATCAAGCAAGCAAGCCCCAATGCCATTTCCATAGCCATGGCAACTAGAAACTTGTTCCTGTTTCAAAAAGAAAGCTTGGGTTCTCTGAAATCCAGCACATTCCCTGGCCACTGGGCCACAGGTCCGATTCAGCACCTGTGTTTAAAAAACCTGCTCAAGGGGCGGGGAAAAGCAAGTCCATTCTGATCGCATTTCCTTCACTGGGATAATCCCAGATGTAGCTACTTGACTGCAAGGGATGTTTCGCATGCATGTGCCTTTTGTGTCTCCCGCTGACCAGTCTCCGTTCATTTTGTTTGGACCTCCCCAGCCACCGAGACTTGAAGCCGGAGAACTTGTTGCTGGATGAGAAGAACAATATCCGGATTGCAGATTTCGGCATGGCCTCCCTGCAGGTCGGAGATAGCCTGCTGGAAACAAGTTGTGGGTGAGCCAACCTCTACGTATGGAGGGCTGATTGGAGGGTTGCACACAACGCCACGAAAGAGACGAGGATGAGGATGAGGAGTCAGGCATCAGTTGATCCTTGTTTGGCAGGAACACCAAAAGCACCGCAGGTGTTTCCTGCAGGGAATACCATAAAACGTGAAGTGGGAAGGAAGCACATGTCTGCAAACCCAGAGAAGCTGGTGCATGTCTTTTTAAGAAATGTGCTTCCTTTTCACACATGACGGGGTTCACTGGAGTATCCAGAAATCAGAAACATCTGCTGTATAGTATGTGAATCACCCCTGCAGAGGGGTGGATTTTGGGGGGATTTGCCAGCCCTATAATAGAGTGGCACAAGGGGCTCATCCAAGGAATGACATGAGCTATGCCACCTTGGCTGTGTTGCCATAGGTCGACCCTCCCACCTATCCCTGCGCTGTGCTCTTATACCCTTCCCAGGGAACGGAGGTATAGTAATTCACCACTTTGTCTGGCCCACACCACCACAGCTCTCCCTTGCTCCACCCCCTGCTCTGGGATTCCCAAACCCGATTGGTAGCCCTACCAGTCACTCTCCCATTAAGGCCGCCAATCTGGAAAAGAAAAAAAAAATATGCTAGCAAAAAGAAGACAGATGTGGGCTCTGGTTTTTCACACTGCAGCTTCTCAAGTTCAGCACTGTCCAAACTGAACGTAACGTCAGTCACACAATTTGTAATTTTGTAAATTGTTTTTTTTTATTAAAGGAAATAGCAGCCACTGTGTGCTTGCCTTCCCACCCCCGATCCAGGTCGGGACTGTGGTGTCAGGGGAGTGGGGCTTTAACACTGTGCCCTGACCCTGTTCCAGTTCTGATCAGCCCTCGCACCTCTCTGGCTTCTATTTGGTGACAATGGCAACATCTCTTTTGGGACAAATAGCAGCTGTGGGAAAGCCTGATCCAGATGGGGACTGTGGTTAAGGCCCCACTGCCTTCATGTCACGGTCTAAATCTGAATTTACTTCCCCCAGCTGAAATATGCTTTGTTTTGTTGTTTTTTAAAATCACGTAACTACTGATAGCATGAATAATACCACAATTGGTTTTTTGGCCTGAAAGTGAACTCCGCTTGCCAGCTCTTTAGCCTCAAAGCTGGGACATATTTCGTTCTGGGAGGAAGTGGAGGAAATGCTTTGAGATTGCCTAGTTGCAGCCACATGACTGCACATCCTTTATAAAATTTGCAGTTGTTTTTTGAATGTTTATAATCTGTATTTTATTTGAATTATTTTTTTTCTAAGTTGCTTTTTCCTTTTTTGTAAGCTGCTGTAAATGCCAGTGTGATGTATAGGCAGACCCCCCTCCCCAAGAAAACCACCCTCTCACATTTAAAATAGATAAATAATGAACACCCAAAGCACTTCCACCATCACAACATCAACACCATGCTATCAAAGCACTTTTAGCACATATTTAAAGCACACCTATGGCTACATACCTGTCATAATTTTAAAATACATGACCTCCTCCAGAGAATCCTGGGAACTGTTCCTTACCCTTCACAGAGCAACAATTCCTAGCACTCTTAACAAACTACAGTTCCCAGGATTCTTTGGGGGGCGAGCTGTGTGCTTTAAATTAGCATTAAATGTATGGTGTCAATGTGATGACACTCCCCAGAAGAAAATGGAGGGCAGTGCCAAGGAAGGCTGAGGAGTTGTTCCATGTGCTTCATGTGTGCTAGTTCACGTGCTTTAAATGTATACTAGGGAGATGCGTGTGACACTGTGGTCTAAACCACTGAGCCTTTTGGGCTTGCTGATCAGAAGGTCAGCGGTTCAAATCCCCGCGACAGGGTGAGCTCCTGTTGCTCTGTCCCAGCTCCTGCCAACCTAGCAGTTCGAAAGCGTGCCAGTGCAAGTAGATAAATAGGTACCGCTGCAGCGGGAAGTTAAACAGCATTTCTGTGCACTCTGGTTTCCGTCACTGTGTCCTGTTGCGCCAGAAGCGGTTTAGTCCTGCTGGCCACATGGCCCGGAAAGCTGTCTGTGGACAAACGCCAGTTCCCTCGGCCTGAAAGCAAGATGAGCTTCGCAACCCCACAGTCGCCTTTGACTGGACTTAACCGTCCAGGGGTCCTTTACCTTTACCTTACCAAATGTGTGCTAAATGTGCTTTAAATGTATGTGCAGGCTCCTTCTCTGCCTCAGTCTCTCTTCTTGCCTCCTCATGGCCAGCCTCCTGGACCTGGCAACTGAAACCTCCCAGCACTTGTGGGACAAGAATGAACAGGGGGGGCATTTTCCCTCCACAAATACATCTTAGGTTTTGGGGGCAGTGTGCTTGTGGGTGGGTGGGTGGGAAGAAGTCCCGCAGGTTCCTCTTCACATGCCTGTTTGAACCCGAGGCCCTGGGGGGGTCTGCTTTCTCCTGCGTTTCACTCTTCCTCTGTCTCTCTGTCTTTCTCTTTTCTGCCCCCAATGCTGGGCTGCAGTTCTCCTCACTATGCATGTCCTGAGGTGATCAAGGTAAGGACTCAGGCCTAGTGCCCACCCCCCTCCCCTGCCTTGATGGCATCTCCTTCCCTTCCCTCTTGCCCGCGGATCAAACCAGGGGGTCCGTCAAGCCTGGCCCCAGGCTTCACTTGGGTTGGGTTCCCAGTCGTATGTCATCATCTTCTACCCATTTGCCATGGAATAAGCCCCGTGGATCTGGGTGGGGCTGATTTCTGAGTAGGCATGTATAGGATTGAACGGTTGGTTGCTTAATTTGTTAAAACAAGAAAGTGGGGAGCAGTTTTGGTTGACTTAAAAGGAGACTCTGTTGAATCAGTCAACGGATTTCAGAAGTGGGTCGAATTCAAACCAAACTAGTTGCGCTTACATTCCTTTTAAATAAATGTGAAAAGGTATCAGTGATTGACTTAACACCCATTGATTCCAGTGGGACTTATGGGCAGCTAACTCACAGTACAATCCTATGTTTGTCAACTCAGAGGTTAAGTTCCATCAAGTTGAATGGGAGTTATTCACAGGTTATAGCAGGGACGGGGGTCAAATGTGGCCCTCCAGGCCTCTCTGCCTGGCCCTCAGGGCTCTCCCCAGGCCACAGTCCATCCAGAGCCACAGCCTTCACCAGACATGATCCACACCCTCCTCGAGTGTTTTTGCCTGGCTGGAATTTGTCCCTGGGCTCTGGTCATGTTTCCTGTTTGTCTGGATGGAGGGTAGGGAGGTGGGTGTGGAAAATAGCCTTCTGCAGAAAGGCAAATTTCACATGTCTCGGTCTGCCCACTTTTGCCTCTGGCCCTGCCCAGCCCTGGCATGTGGCCCCCAGAAGGTTGCCAAGAAGGAAAGGCGATCCTCGGGTTGGAAAAAGGTATATAGGATTGTAGCATTTGCATGGACCTAGTTCAATTTTTCTTCCTATAAGGACGTAACAAACTGCAGATAGCAAGCAGCATTTTAAAAGAGACACCCCTTCCTATGTGTGAAAGGTCATGTATCCAGGATGGTGCCTGGTGCGATTCAGGCTTGTGTAATTTAATAACGGAGTAAAGTATGCCATTTTGTAGAACGATTCCCCCCACTTATATCCACATTTGTGTAGATTTAAGTGATTAATTAATTGATTAATCAACTACAATTAATATGATAAATGTACCTTTCCTTTTTTAACTTGGCGACTGCTCTAATTATATGTGGGGTTGGACAGGGGAAGGTGTTATTGGAGGAGACTGGTAGTTGCTTGTCTCTCATCCCTCACACCCTTTATGCTGGGAAGGGGAACCTGCGACCTGCCTCCAGACACGGTTGGACTCCAACTCCCATCAGCACCGTCCAGCTGACCAGGGCTGATGGGAGCTGTAGTCCCACAATAGAGGTCCATAGGTTCCCCATCTCTGCTTTAGTAAGGCCTTGCTCTGTACAATATGGTAGCTTCTTCTGAAAAACTTCAACTCTCTTAAAGCACCATAATCCTCATTCCAGAGCTGCTAGATCTGAAATTTAAATTCAGTGACCTGGAGGATATCTACTGAATTCCTTCCCCCAGAAATAAGACGTTTTTGATGCTGGGAAGAAGCACCACCCACTTGTGAACAGTGGCAGATGACTGAGGGGGCAGAGTCGCCCTCCCGGTGCAGCCCACCTGGACAAGGCTGGGTCAGGGCGGCTGCAAGGTCGGGGCTGCAGAGAGACACTGGTGGGAGTGCCCGATTGGCTCTGTCGGCGTGTCATTCACACAGCCCAGCTGTGCCACCAGCTCATGCCAGCCCTGTCTGCATAAGCTGCAGCAAAGCCAATGTTGAGAGGGTGGCTCTGCTCCACTGCAGCAGCCACTACTGCTTGTGGAGGGTACTGGGGAAGGGGAACATCAACCAGTCCTGGAAGATGGGGAAATTTTGATCCCTTCTTGATGGCCATAGACTGGAACCGGGAGACAATAGAGTTTGCTGAGTAATGGACCAAGCGAGGGCAGGAGGAGTTGGGGCAGGTGGCGAGAGACAAGGTTCTCTCATCCTTATGGAGATATATCCCCTTCCCGCCTGTTCTTAACACTTGGGTGAGCCTTCCACTCTCCACTCTGATTTCTTTATGTCTGTCATCCATTCCCAGCCAAGCTTTCCCTGTCCTTCCCCTGCCCTCCTGAGTTGCCAACCCCACCAAATCTCTCTGCTCTTCGCTCCTTAGGGGGAGAAATACGATGGACGTCGCGCTGACATGTGGAGTTGCGGAGTCATCCTCTTTGCCCTGCTGGTGGTAAGGCTGCTCCCCAGTAAATTGCCGGGCTATTCAACACCCCCCGCCCACCCCCCACCATGTTGTCCTCGCTGTGGCAAAGGTGTTCCAAGGTTGCTCAGAGCAACCTATGTCCAATGCTGGTCCTACTCAGAGCAGACCTGTTGAAACTGATGGACATGATGGACTGAAGTTCACTGATGTGAATACCTCCAGGTATTGTTGGACTTCATCTCCCATCAGTCCCAGCTGGCACGACCGATGGTCAGAGATGATGGGAGTTATAGTCCAACAACATCCGGAAAGCCACAGGTCTCCCATCTCTGAGTTGCATGTGCTTTTTTATTTACAAACACATTTCTGTGCTGCCACATCACAAAGTATTGGGGTGGAGCACAACACTGAAACATAAAACAACAATTGAAAACAATACAGATAACCATTAACTATTCCAAAAAATAAAAATGAAATGGTTACAAAGGCTTGCCAGTGTAAAAAGATCAAGATCTACAAGTCAAAAGCGAGGGTGTCTGATGAACCTCTCCTGGAAGGGACAGGTGGCACTAAGTGCCCAACATCTAGAACTTGAATTTAAATGCAAAAAAACAAACAAACCCATTCTGTATTTGAAATCTCAATACTGAAAAATCTGTGTGAGCTTTCATTTTGGGGTCGGTTCTCTCGCCCTTTGTCCTGCAGGGAGCGCTACCCTTTGACGACGACAACCTACGCCAGCTGCTTGAGAAGGTGAAGCGGGGGATCTTCCATATGCCCCACTTCATCCCGCCCGACTGCCAGAACCTCCTGCGGGGCATGATTGAGGTGGAGCCCGAGAAAAGACTCAGTGTGAGTAATCCCGGCGGTGCAAACGCTGTTAAAGTAGGGTTAGGGGAAGACATTCGATTCGTTTTTCCTTTAAAGGCGAATTCACCTGATCTGCATTTTCCAAAACAATGTATGAACCAAGAGAAAGCCATCTTTTTGAAATTCGCAATTCTCTGAATTTTGCAGTGCATTCCTGCAGCTGAGTAATATATTTGGAAAATGCATATACTAACGTAAGATGTGTATAAACATTTACAAATATATTTAAAATTTACAGAATTGTAGTTGAAAAAATATTTACCAAAAAATGCTTTTTCTAAGGCACACTTTTCATGTATTCTTGTACACATTACTTCAGTTTTTCCAAACAAACTTCACAGAATTACACATTTGTGCAAACAAATTACACAGAAAACAATGGAGACAAAATGAAACAAAAAGAAGTAGACATATAGAGGTATAACTATCCGTGTGTGTGTGTGTGTGTGTGTGTGTGTGTGTGACATACAAATTGCATTATATTAGGGAAAATATAAGTACTAAAGAAAATATGCTTTGCAAAAATGTAGATAATAGGATAAATTATTATTATCATTATTATTCAAACTTGTATACCCACTTCGTCCGAAGATCGTAGGGCAGTTCACAACATGAGAAAACAAAATACATAATAAAAATAAGAACTGGAAACTAATTGGCAGCCAATGCAGTTGGGCTAGGATTGGTGTTATATGCTTAAACTATGTTGCCACGGTGAGCAACCTGGTGGCCAAATTCTGCACCAGCTGAAGTTTCTAAGCCCTACAGATAATGCTCTGCAGTAATCTAACCTGGAGGTTACCAGAGCATAGATGACAGAAGGTAGGTTATCCCTGTCCAGATAGGGACACAGCTGGGTCACCACCTGAAGCTGATGGAAGGCACCCTGTGCTACTGAGGCCACCTGAGTCTCAAGCAACAGCAAAGGATCCAGGAGTACCCCCAGGCTGCATTCCTGCTCCTTCAGAGGGAGTGTGACTCCAAGAGCAGGCAACCTCCCATCCAACCATTAAAATGCTGATGAGTTTTCATGAGGGTTTTTAAATTGCCCCCTCCCTGCAAAGTGATGCAGAAATGTGGGGAGTGGACTTAGGACTGGACAAATCAGAAACCAAAAACTGGTAGATTTGCCCACCCTTAGTTGGAAGCGAAGCAATGACATAGTTTTGGATGGGGAGCTCTTCAGTTCCGACATCCACTTTTCTGGGACTAAGCCTCGCCAACCTCAGTGAGGCTTTCTTTTGAGTAGACTTGTAGAGGATTGCATTTATAGATGATTTAGGGAGAAAAAGTTTCTAATGTTGTTGTTTCCCCCCCCCCCTCCATGTGGCAACTTTAGCTGGAACAGATCCAGAAGCACCCATGGTTCTTGTGAGTACCTCCAGATCCTTCTCTTTGATTCCCACCAAGTCCCAATATTTTCTGGCTTCACTGGGTGGAGATATGTGTGTGTGAGGTGGGAGGCACATGGAGAAACTGAACCCAGGAAATGGGCAGACTATAAATAGTTTCTCAGTCAAATACATCCCTGGCAACTGTGACCCTTCCTCCAGATCAGGGGTTTCCAAACTTGGGTCTGCAGCTGTTTTCAGACTACAACTCCCACCATCCCTAGCTAGTCAGGGATGATGGGGATTTTAGTCCAGAAACTGCTGGCGACCCAAGTTTGGGGAACCCTGCCCTAGATCCATCTCATTGATGTCTGAGCTTCCAGCTTAAATGTGCCCAGACATAGCTTTGTATCCATGAGCGCCAGAAAAGTGAAAGTCATATTCATTATAGTGGGTTTGCTTTATTTATTTTTGGCTATAAGCTGTTACAACAATACTAAAATGCTGATGCAAAATAGAATCCTGAAACAGTATTTCCATAGATACGTAATAAATAGGTTCTTTTCTGGACCCTAGATCATGGCAAAAGCCGTGCTTTGTTATAGGTACAGTATTAATTGTTATACATACAATTAATTGTAGAAAAATTGCATGGGGGAAGAAAAGCGACAACCCTAAACCCAACCTCAAAATTTGACATGCACACTCCACTGTGAAAATATAAAGCCAGGCTGGCTAGCATTTGCCAACCTGAGGTTGTTAGTCGCCTTTAGCCAGCCTTACTTTCCTCTTACGTGATCTGTGCTTCTTTTCTCCCAGGGGAGGTAAGAATGAACCAGAGCCAGAGCAGCCGATTCCTAGGAAGGTGGCCATCCGGCGGATTCAGTCAGTCAGCGAGCTGGACCCCGACGTGCTGGAGAGCATGCACTCCCTTGGCTGTTTCCGCGACAAGAATAAGTTGAAGCAGGAGCTGCAGACCGAGGGGTGAGAGATTAGGGCACGTGGCTGGAATGGGGAAGGAGAGCCTGTCTAACGTTTTGCACATTGCACTGTGGGGATGCACTGAACTAATGGAGGAATGCTTTGGGGGAGGTTTTATTTATTTTTTATTGTATCTCACCTTTCCTTGGAACCCAAGGTGAGATGTGTGTTTCCCAGAGAGTCAGCTATCCAGGCACTGACCAAAAGCCAGACCTGCTTTGCCTCAGCAAGATGGTGGTCTCATGTGCTTCAGAGCTTATGACTGGTGTGTAAAATGGTTTGTAGGCAGCTTAGGTTCCCTGCTAGGAATTGGGAGCTATAGGAGGAAGGGGGCTTCCAGACAGCTGCTGTTTGGGGGTGAGATTCCATCATTTGCAGGCAAATTCAGGTTTGCATAATTATAGTTGATTGGGACGTTCTGAGCAACAAACCCACTTCCCACAGAGATTGGACTTTCTGCAAGAAGGAAAGTGACAGGAAAAGGCATTAGACAATGTGGAGTAACACTTGCTTTTCTAACGAATAGTTTATTGGTGCTTTAGAACTTTTTTTTTATCAAAAATAAACAACAAAGGTGGAGCACCACCTGCTTTGATGCAACGTTATCTAAATCGCCCTGCAAACAAATCAGGATGAATGCTGAATGAATAGGTTTTCTGGAAGTTCCTGAAGCTAGGATTGTTTTCACAGAGAAGTCTCAACACTCCTGCAAAACTACAGTTCCCATAGTTCTTTGAGAGAAGTTGCAACAACTTTTGCACACTGGCTCAAACTGCCCATAGGTTTTTGGCATGGGTGTGTTCTACGAGAGGTGAAGGAGGGCTGAGATTTGGTTCTTGGCAAAAGCATTGCTGAAAAACAGAAGAATCAGGAAGCAGTAGGGAGGGGGAGTGTTAAGCATAAATATTTGGGTTTGTGGGGAGGAAGCTGCTGGCTGCATCCTGACCCTGTTCCCTCAATCTGTCCCCCTCTCCACTTCAGGGAGAACCAGGAGAAAATGATCTATTATCTGCTCCTTGACCGCAAAGAGAGATATCCCAGCTGCGAGGATGAGGATCTGCCTCCGCGCAACGATGTTGGTGAGATGTCAGGGAGCCCGTTCCCGACACCCGTCAGGGTGCGGGAGTGGGAGGCTTGTTCCCAGGAATCCCAGGGAGATGCCAGCAGACACAGTTCTGCCGGAGGATCCAAAAGACATTTTCGGAACACCCTGGAGCCCCCTTCTTAACAACGGCCCTTGAGAAAATGCTGCTGGGTTGATAGGCAACCTCCAAGGACTCCCTCCCTCTTTCCATGTCTCATTTGGGGATTTTGTCTGCGTTGGGGAACCTGGAAAGATCTGAAAGGCAATGAACAGGTGTCACCTATGCAACTGGGTGTGAAGAACCTTTGGCCCTCTGGATGGTGCTGACCTACAGCTCCCACCCCCCTACCCATTGGCCCTGCTTGCTCAGGCTGATGGGAGCTGTAGTCCAGCAACATCTGGTTGGCCAAAGGTTCCCGACACCTGCTCTAAACTACTCTAGGGTACAGTCCTTGAAGACATTCTCCCCCAAGTATCCCACTGTTCCCACCACATCTAAGCGAGAGCTGGATTTTTCTGCATCCCGTCATTGAATGCATTGCAGACTTCTGTTGGTGCCCTGAGATCTGCATTTCTCGTCACCATTACTCCCTCGCCCAATAAATTACTGTCCCTGGCCGAGTGAAAGCAGTGTGTGTGTTTGAGAAAGCAGAGGTTGGATGGCCACCTGCCCTGGGTGCTTTAGTTGAGATTCCTGCATTGCAAGGGGTTGGACTGGAAGACCCTCAGGATCCCTTCAAATTCCACAGTTGTATGATTCTAAGGGGGGTGGGGAGAGGTGGCATCAGAGTATTTGGAAATGTGGCTCTCTTCCTCTGAGTACTGAAGTACTGTCTCCCCCCCCCCCCCATTTATTCTAGACCCTCCTCGGAAGCGAGTCGACTCTCCCATGCTGAACCGACACGGGAAGCGCCGACCTGAGCGGAAGTCCATGGAAGTTCTGAGCGTCACCGATGGCGGTTCTCCCGTTCCGGCCCGACGGGCCATAGAGATGGCACAACATAGCCAGCGGTGAGTATGTGTTGAGCAGCGACGCTTCCGCAGCCTGGCATTAAGAGGCGCCATTACCTTTTTGTGTGTGTGCTTCCTCTGCTCCTGGAACTGGGAAGTGCAAATATTTTAACGTTTGGTTGCCATCCAGTGGCTGCAGGAGGAATTCAATGTATGTTTACTGGACTAGCAAAACTTTGCTGTCTCTTGCTGGTAGTTGCATGTAGAGCAGTTATTTTGGCTCTTTGTGTTAACATTTCATTTTTAATACATATTTTCTGCCAAGGAGGCAAACACAGAGTTTGTTTAATAATAATAATAATAATAATAATAATAATAATAATAATAATAATAATAATAAATTTTATTTATATCCTGCCCTCCCCAGCCGAAGCCAGGCTCAGAGTGGCTAACAACAGTAAAACGATAAAACATTCTAAAATCTAGAATTAACACTTTCATGTCCCATTCTTCAGTTGTTAGAATTGCCCTTGTGCATTGTTGATCTTTGCTGCCCCTGCTGGTTGTGTTGAAAACTGCACAGAAACACAGTGCATTGCTCCCCTTACTGCTGTTTCTGCAAAAACAGTTTTGTGTATCTCCTCCTGCTTTTTCCCTGTGTGTCTCATCTGACCCCCAAGACGGTACTAACCCTCAATATGGCTTTCTCCCCAACCAACAGGTCTCGATCTGTAAGTGGTGCCTCCACTGGCTTATCCTCCAGTCCCCTCAGTAGCCCCAGGGTGAGTACCTGAGATATTGGAGAAATTACAGAGTTGGGGAAGGGAAAGGGGCAGAAGATTGGGTGGTGGGCAAAGGTGTTGTGGGGCATAGGGAAGGGAGGGACTGGGTTTTGGAGGGACTGGGATTTGGAAACAGATCTGCAGATCCAGCAGCCTCATTCACATCTCATCTTGCACTCAGTTCAAGTTGGTGAGGGGAGGGAAGAGGTGCTCAGTCAATCGCTGGTTCTCCTGACAGTGGGGCTTGCATACACAGCAGGCAGAAAATTAGCCAAGTGCATATCACTCCCCCATGCACCCCTCTCCCCCCTTATTGCATCCCCATGCCAGGAGAAAGCTGCACCTGTTGAATTACCACCTGGTACCTAGCTTTCAAACATGCCTGGCCTCTGTCAGTGAAATATGGTAATTACCTTAAAGAGAAAAGGAGAGAAGACATGTGTAGACTTTGATGAGGGATGTCAGAGAGAGAGGTCTGAGGCTGTGTACACACCACACATTTAAAGCACACCCACACCCACACACCCTTGCAGAATCTTGGAAACTGCAGTCTATTAAGGGTGCTGGGAATCGTAGCTCTGCGATGAGTAAGTTACAGTTCCCAGGATTTTGGGGGGGAAGCTATGTGCTTTAAATGTATGGTGTATATGCAGGTTGGGTTCGGTGAAAGGGATGGGGCTCAAGGTTCTGTGGGAATAAGAGTTTGAGGTGGGGTGCCTTGAAAATGTAGGCAGGTCCACAGCTAGATCTGGAAAGTTTGAAGCAAGGGGAAGAAACCAGTTTGAAGTGATCAAAGGGAAGGCAAAGGGCCAAACTAGGCATGGCATTAAGCACATGATCTGCCCATGTGTGTGCTTGGTTTCTAAATAGCAGCTGGTGGGGGAGGGGGGGAATCAAGATCGGGATCATGGTATGGGAAAGAAGGGATTTAACTCTTTGCTCCCCCCACAGCCCTGATCTAAATCTCCCCGCTCCCCTGCATGCAGCTATTATTTGCCTTTGCTGCTAATTGCAGTTTTTCTCCTGGGGTAACAAACAGCAGCCCCAGAAGAACAGGGCAGGGAGCTCTGTGCCTGAAATTTTGTAAACGAAGGCATTTGTAAGAGGTTCTGCTCTGTGTGCTTCATGCCATGGTTGGTTTGGCTAAAAGTAGCAACAAGCTGTAGGCTAGGTAGCATTTGGCAGTGCAGCATGTTGGCTGTTGTGGAAGTAGGCAAAGCCCTTTATTGTTTGGAGGCAGGTTCTTTGTTGCTACTAGCTGCACAGAAGGCAGAAATCGAGCTGGTGCAGCTTTGATCAGCACGACACCTCCATGCCAGCGAAGACCTCAGCCCTTGAACTGCAGCCTGTCACAAAGTTAGTAAAGGTGCACAGAAGGAAATGGGGGAAGAAACCCTTAGAAGAGGAAGCTTATCTTTGCAGTAGGCTGGCTGTTTAGGGTTTGACTGCCTCTAGCGCAGGTTCCCTGTGAGAAAGGGGCAGGGCAGCCTTCCCCTGGTGCCTTCCAGCTGATGCAGACATTCCCTTGATCTCTTGGGCCTCCTGTTTCAACTGCCAGGCTGCTTTAAAGGGATTCCTCTGTTAAAACAATCATGCACATTCATATTTTAATGTTTTAATGGGATTGTTCTATGCTGTATTTTACTTGTGTGTTTTAAAAATTATGCTGCATTCTAACCATTGTGCAAATGGGGTTATATATGTTTTGTAAGCTGCTTAGGAGCTGCCTGGGTCTTAAGCAGCATATAAATAAATGAAGATGAAGGTTGATGATGATGCAGGCCAGCTCTGGCTCTCTCATCAGTCCCAGCCAGCTTGGCCAGTGGTCAGGGATGATGGAAGCCGGAGTTCAACAACACCTGGAGGGCACCAGGTTGTGGAAGGCCACTTTCGGGCTTGGAGCAGCTGCTCTGTAGGAAAGGGTGGCTGTTTGCGGGAGGAGGAAGCAGAGGGCTGGTCTCCCCGGGAGGCAGACAGGCAGAGGAGGACATAATATCAAAAAAGCCCCGTGGAGAAGCGATGGAGGGGAGGTGGAGTAGTGGATGTCAGGTTTGCTGCAGCGCAGGCTGGCTGGAGGGGGACACGTAGTCTTTGGGCGCCATAGATATCCCCCCAAGAATGCAGGGTAGGCTTGCCGTGGAGCAGGCAGATCCTTACGAAATCAGGCCATTTGTCACGCCCCCGAGTTCTGTCTGGGCCACAGAGCGAGACTCTCTTTGGGAGCAGGCTTGTGGGGCTGTCACCTGCCATTACTCACCCCCCATCTCACGGCTCTCCCCTCCTCACCTTTCTTCCTCCCCCCCCACTTCTCCCCACACCCAGAGCCCCATCTTCAGCTTCTCCCTCCCATCGCCTCCCCCGGCCCCTGCGAAGACTCAGACGCTTCCGGCCAAGGGCAGCCCGGCAGGGGAGCGGGCCCTGCAGAGCCGGCGCTCCGCCCCTTTCCCCTTGCCCCCCAACTCTCCGCCCCCTCACCCGCCCTCCTCTCCCCGCTGCTTTTTCCCTTCTACTAAACCCCCACCCAAATCTGTGCTGCAGGTCACCCCCCACCCCTCCCCTCGGGGAAGCCCCCTCCCCACTCCGCTCGGCACCCCTGTGCACACGCCCAAAGAGAGCCCCAGCGGCACCCCGGAGGGACGCCGCCCAGCAGCCCAGGCGTGGCGGGCGTGGCCTGGAAGACCCGCCTGAACTCCATCAAGAACAGCTTCCTGGGCTCCCCACGCTTTCACCGCCGGAAACTACAAGGTGAGTGGGCAGTTCCGCCCCCTGCTGGGGAGGGTGTGTGCGCAGGTGCATGCGGGTGTAGCGGTTGTGTGTGCCAAAGACAAATCAAGGCACCCATGGTATAAAAGCAGGGTTGAAAGAGGGATTGTGAGTGACCCATCCTTAACGCATGGCAACTTTGCCCCCTGTAAGGCGGTGTTCTGTGTGAGCATCTAAAGCACTTTCCTGCGCATGTGCAAGAGCAGTGAATTCTGGTAGGCATAGGAGCCTTCAGAGGGTACAGCTGCATCAGGACCGATGTGTGCCTATGACTGGGGACGATCGAGAATGAAAGGGAAAGAGCTCAGAGAGCATTCAAAATGGCGCGCACGTATGAATGAAACGGGAGTTTGCATAATGCCGTTGCGCAACAAATTGTTTACATGAAGCTGAACCTCTGTGGTCCAGCAAACCAGATCTTTATCTCTCCACCCAATGGGCCAACTTTGACAGGCGGGCAGGACCACAGATGTCATAACGAAGTCAGGGATCTATGATTCCAGGGGAAGCTAGCTTGCGCAGCAGAACCAGGCAGGATGAAGTCCCCAACCATCAGCTGATGTCATCCGCCTCTTGGGATGATGTCACCTGATTGATAGGTGGGTGCAGTTTTGGGGGGGAAACAGCCTCTTGGTCTAAATTGGAACCCATGGAAGGCCAAGGTTGGTCCTGTAGGGTGGAGATTTGCCATCCCTAGTCTAAATTATATTTCAGACAAATGTAAGAGAGGGTTGGAAACGTGTGAAATAGGAACATGGGAAGCTGCCTCATACTGACTCAGAACACTGATTCCCCCTAGCATTATTGCCTACACCGACTGGCAGTATCTCTCCAGGATTTTGGGGAGAGAGACTCTCCCGGCCCTCCCTGGAGATTCCAGGGACTGAACCCATGACCTCCTGCATGCAAAGCAGATGCTCTACCACTGAGCTACGGCTCTTGCCCAAGCAAGACTGTGTGGAAGTCCTAGCCACCCCTGCTTTTGTCCTCAACATCCAGCAGCAAGTGCAGCTTTGCTTTGAAGCACTGGAGTGGGTGGGAAGGAGGTCACGCACACTCCTGTTTTACATTTCATGTTTCTCCTCCTCGCCCTGCAGTTCCTACACCAGAAGAAATGTCCAGTCTTACTCCAGAATCATCCCCTGAGTGAGTATCAGAAGGCAGTGGCAATAAGGAAGGAGACGAAAATTCCTTTCATTTTCCTTCTCTCCATGTTCTTTAACTTCGTTCCTTACTGGATGCAGGGTTGTACTTAGGAGTTGGCAAGACTAGCCAAGGGCCCGGATCCAGGGTGTGTGTGCAAAAATGGTGCTTCTGTACTCTGGCTTAGAGTGGCTGGGAGTGTACATGCTCCCTGGGCCACTCCTCCACTGCTATGGGCAGCCAGGCAAGGCACGCAAGTTCCACTGGCAAAGGGACAGGGGAATCGATACATCTCCTTGCCAAGAGCACAAGGGAGCTTCTCCCCACCCTCCAAATCTCCCCACCCTCCACCTGCACCAAGTATACTCATCGGAGTCAGACACAGGCCAGCATAGCACAGAGAATTCAGGTCTCCGTGGCCAGTGAAGTTAACTCTTTATTCAAGGAAACTGCATAGAACACAGCAACACTTCCCAGTATGTCTTGTCCCTTTGGAGCAGTTGCCAGGACTGAAGGTCCCTGCCTTCCACCCTTTCTAAGGCTCCTCCTCTCCTGGATGTTTCCCAAGCAGTCTCAAACTGTGTCTGGCCTCTGTTCTGCTCTCCTCGTTATTCTGCATGTTTTTGCAGCAGGAGAGGGAGACTCCCTGGATTCTTCATCAGCCTCTTGCCCCCTCCCCTCCTCTGCTTCAGCCTCAGAGTCTGAACTGCTCTCTGTCACAGGCTCTTCCTGCTCACTAAACCCTGCTGCCCCATCAGCATCCGGCACCTACTCCCAATCCTGTTCCTCTGGCCTCTCCTCAGTGTCCCACCACCAATCCCTGTGCTCTGAGCTTTCCTCTTCCAAAGTTTCCCTTGGGGTTCCCCAGCTGGTACCTCCCACCTCTCCTCTTCGTCCAGCCAGTCCCTGACATGTGCTTCTGTGGTTGTGCAGTTGCCACAGGCTCAGGCTTCAGTGGCAACAAGTGGGCACCTCTCCCACCTCTCCTTCTTTGCCGTGCTTATTTGCAGGCTGTCACAGCCTTCCTGTACTGCTTTTGCCCCTTTCAGACTAGCCAAGAAATCCTGGTTTGGGAATTTTATCAACCTAGACAAAGAGGAACAAATTTTCGTGGTCATCAAAGACAAACCCCTGAGCTCCATCAAGGCTGATATCGTACACGCCTTCCTCTCGGTGAGTGCTGAAGGCCCAGGAGGGGAAGAATGTGTGTGTTTGGGGAGACTGTGAAGAATAGGATATGGAGGCAAGTAAGACAGGCCTAAAAAGGGACACGGGTGGCGCTGTGGGTTAAACCACAGAGCCTAGAACTTGCCAATCAGAAGGTCGGCGGTTCAAATCCCCGTGACGGGGTGAGCTCCCGTTGCTTGGTCCCTGCTCCTGCCAACCTAGCAGTTCGAAAGCACGTCAAAGTGCAAGCAGATAAATAGGTACCGCTCTGGCGGGAAGGTATACGGTGTTTCTGTGTGCTGCTCCGGCTCCCTTGGCCAATAAAGTGAGATGAGTGCCGCAACCCCAGAGTCGGTCACGATTGGACCTAATGGTCAGGGGTCCCTTTGCCTTTAAGACAGGCCTACTGGGTTTCTGACGACCGCAGTGGAATTAGCAGGACCCTGGGAAGGGATGAGTTCCATTGGTGGTTTGTGGGTAAAGATGGGGGAGAAATTAGAGATTCCATTCGCCTTTAAAGGCAGACTTACAAAATCCACACTTTCCAAATCGATACGTGAACCAAATCATGGTCAACTTTCAAAATTCACACTTCTCCGAATTTTGAAATGCCATTCTCCAACCAAGTAAGGTGTACAAAAATGCATACAGTAGTGCCCCGCAAGACGAACGCCTCGCAAGACAAAAAACTCGCTAGACGAAAGGTTTTTTCGTCCGCGATTTGCCTCGCAAGACGAATTCCCCTATGGGCTTGCTTCGCAAAACGAAGCTTGCCCCGGGGACAGCGGGTCTTCTCTTTTGAAGCAAGGGGCTGCGGGGAGATAGCGATCTCCCTGCAGCCCCTTGCTGCAAAAGACGTCGGGGGAAGCGGGGAAGCGAAGCGCTTCGCTTCCCCGCTTCCCCCGGACCTCTTCTGAAGCAAGGGGCTGGGGGGAGATAGCGATCTCCCTGCAGCCCCTTGCTGCAAAAGACGTCGGGGGAAGCGGGGAAGCGAAGCGCTTCGCTTCCCCGCTTCCCCCGGACCTCTTCTGAAGCAAGGGGCTGGGGGGAGATAGCGATCTCCCTGCAGCCCCTTGCTGCAAAAGACGTCGGGGGAAGCGGGGAAGCGAAGCGCTTCGCTTCCCCGCTTCCCCCGGACCTCTTCTGAAGCAAGGGGATGGGGGGAGATAGCGATCTCCCTGCAGCCCCTTGCTGCAAAAGACGTCGGGGGAAGCGGGGAAGCGAAGCGCTTCGCTTCCCGCTTCCCCCGGACCTCTTCTGAAGCAAGGGGCTGGGGGGAGATAGCGATCTCCCCCCAGCCCCTTGCTTCAGAAGAGGTCCGGGGGAAGCGGGAAGCGAAGCGCTTCGCTTCCCCGCTTCCCCCTGACGTCTTTTGCAGCTGTTCCGAAGTGGGGCGGGGGGGCGGGGTCACCTGCCCCAGCCGCCCCACTTCGGAAAGCTGTTCCGAAGCGGGGAGGGGGGGCGGGGACATCTGCCCCAGCCGCCCCACTTCGGAAAGCTGTTCCAGGAACAGCTCCATAGGAACCTCCATAGGCGCCCGTCACCTCTCCAGCCAGGAGAGCGCGCGCGGGGCTAAACCAGCCCCCCGCGACCCTCTCCCAGCTGGAGAAGTGACGCGCGCCTATGGCAGGAACCTCCATAGGCGCCCGTCACCTCTCCAGCCGGGAGAGCGCGCGCGGGGCTAAACCAGCCCCCCGCGACCCTCTCCCAGCTGGAGAAGTGACGCGCGCCTATGGCAGGAGCCTCCATAGGCGCCCGTCACCTCTCCAGCCAGGAGAGCGCGCGCGGGGCTAAACCAGCCCCCCGCGACCCTCTCCCAGCTGGAGTTGTGACGCGCGCATATGGCAGGAACCTCCATAGGCGCCCGTCACCTCTCCAGCCGGGAGAGCTCGCGCGGGGCTAAAGAAACCATAGCCCCGCGACCCTCTCCCAGCTGGAGAAGTGACGCGTGACTATGGCAGCAGCCTCTGAAGGATGCACCGAAGCCTGGCGTGGGGGGGGGGCGGAGAGACCTTCTCCCCGCGCCAGCCTTCGGATGGCTGTCCTGAAGACTTGGGGTGGGAGAAGGGTTTTCCTTCCCACCGCCAACATTCAGAATGCTGTTCTGAATGTTGGCGGTGGGGAGGAAAAACCCTCCTCCCACGCAAGCCCCGGGAACAGAGGGAAAGCGCTGCGTGCCTTCCCCTCTGTTCCCGTACCTGTGCTGAAGGCTTGCGGTGGGGAGAAAAGCCCTTCTCCGCACCGCCAGCCTGGCAAGCGGTTTCCCTAGGAACGCATTAATTGATTTTCAATGCATTCCTATGGGAAACCGTGCTTCGCAAGACGAAAAATTCGCTAGACGACAAAAATTGCGGAACGAATTAATTTCGTCTTGCGGGGCACCACTGTATATGTTAGGGTACAGTGTTAAGGCGGGAATGCAGACATTATTGAAAAGAACGGGGGGGAAATAGGGGAAGTTGCTCTGCAGAACTGTGCATGCTAGGCTAAAATTTGAAATGAGCAGGTGTATATTAGAAAGAATTCGGACTAAAATGCTGGTGAATTTTCGTAAGGACTTTAAAAATAAATAAAAATAATGATCACAAGTCAATGTGGAAATGTGAAGACTAGAAAAATGAGAAATTGATAGAAATGGACCGTTTTGCCCAATGCTGCCTGTGAGCTGACATCTCCTGTGTTCCACCACATTCATAGATCCCCAGCCTGAGTCACAGCGTTGTATCCCAAACAAGCTTCCGGGCCGAATATAAGTCGTCGGGTGGCCCCTCTGTCTTCCAGAAACCCGTCAAGTTCCAAGTCGACATCAGCTACTCCGAGGGTGGGGAGGCGCACAAGGACAGCGGGATCTACTCGGTCACCTTCACCCTCATCTCAGGTGAGTGCCCTAGGATCCTCCTTTGAGTGGCCTTGGGGATTCATTGTGTTTACTGGACACCTTTAATGAGAGAAAAATCACTATTGGCATTTATTAAGGATTGAAAACTTCTTACAGACTTTTTGTGTGAAAGAGAAAATGAACATGTAATATCTGGATATGAAGATAAGGAAAAAATTGGTTTATATAAAATAGAATAGTTGGATGTTTTTGAGTGAATGCTATATTTAGGAAAGAGGGAAAGAGAACCAGAAGTATTTTTTATATCTTTCTTCATTCCCGCCCCCTCTCTTCTCTCTCCTCTCTGTCTCTCTTCTCTATCACTTGCTTTTCCTTTTTCTTCTTCTTTTTGCTTCCGTTCCTTTTTTAGATTAGATTTCAAAAGTATTTCTTTTATTCTGGTGTATTATAAAAAGATACTTTGTATTGGGTATGAGCTTCTGTATATCTTTGGACAAGTATTGATAAAAATAGATATTTGTGGGGCAGCGGAGAGTTTTGTCCCTCTCTGATACAAAAACCTAATCACCTTTCAGTCTCTTGGAAATGTGTACATTTTTTTATTTACTTGGGAGTAAGTTTAATAGTAGCCACTAGATTCATTGAAAGAAAAATGATGTTTCCAGCTTGTTCTAGTAGAAGAGATAGGCCATACCCCTCACAGGCTTACATACCCCGGGATTCCCTGGGACCCCCAGGAAAATACTGTTTTAAGAAAAGCAGCTTCCATCCATTATCATTGCAAACACATGGCTTTAAATGTATGAGCAAAGTCTCCTGAATGGCTATTATTTTGGGCCCTGTAACTTACCTTTCCACATGATACCTCCCTTCTTTGAGGCTGCCAGCTCTGCCTTCAAGATTCAGCTAAAGCTGATTCCCAGTTGCTTATTTGCAGTTCCTGGGGGTTGACAACAGAAGCAACACATGGTGCTGCTGAATTCTAGGGATGTCCCACAGAGCTAGTGGGGTTTTGTTTTGTTTTGAATGTTTGGTAGTGGGTTATGAACAATGCATGGGGGATTCTCACATGGGGCATATGTATCTTACTATTTCACATCAGCTTTCACCAGTTTTGTGGTTTCTCCCAAAGAGTTCTGCAGAATTCATAGTTTCACAAGGGGGAGAAGGGCCCTGCATAGAGATCACTAGCGCCTTGCATGAAACGGCTACCTTTTAAACTAGCTTAGAGTCTGTAGATACGCCCATGGCGGGAAAGGGGATCCCAGTTCCCTTGGAGGGAAGATCAGAGTTCATTTACAGGAACTTCAAACACCAACCTCTCCAGAGGCAACATAACACCTATCCCAGAGTCTAAAAAGGCACCAGCGTCTGACTTGGGAATCCAAATTCATTCATTTCACAGTTGTTACTGGCATATTGCAGTGCTGAAGCGAGTAGACTATGAGTGTGTGTGTTTAATGTATTTATAGATAGGGGTGTGTGATGGTGTGAGAGAGAATGGTTTTTAAAACAGCACATAGCACTTCAGACAAGTTGCAGATGGGTAGCCGTGTTGGTCTGCCATAGTCAAAACAAAAAAAATTCCTTCCAGTAGCACCTTAAAGACCAACTAAGTTAGTTCTTGGTATGAGCTTTCATGTGCATGCACACTTCTTCAGATACACTTCAGACAAGTTTGTTCTGGATCCCAGAAATAAGCAGTTTGTTCTAAAACTATATATTGAGTACGGTGTCTAACAAAACAGAGACGTTAAAGCCTTAATATCTTTAATATTAATACAGTCTTAAACCCACCCATACAGAGTTCAGCATGAGCTTGGTTTTAGGATCTGCACTGCTTATGAGTGCATCTTCCCATCATGTAGCCCTAGCAGTGTCCTGCTCCTGGAATCTTGTCTTTTGGAGGAGCCCCTGTTCCTTCCTGACCCTGAATGCCTATGTCTCATTCTTAGGTCCTAGCCGCCGGTTTAAGCGAGTTGTGGAAACAATCCAGGCGCAACTGCTCAGCACACACGACCAGCCTTCCGTGCAAGCCCTCGCTGGTAGGTGCTTGAATGGGTTTGCTCGACCTTAGATGGATGCAGTCTAGCAATGAGCAGTGTGCTAGCCACTGCTCTTGCCCATGCTGGTTTTTGTCAAGAGGCATTTTCTGTGCAAATATTCCCTGTCCTGGTGGTGCAGCTGCTGCACGGCATCCCATCTTGTTTTCTTATCTCTAGACCGTTTGCTGCAGCACATTAACAAGGCTACTTCTTTGGAATGGGGTATCTTGTATCTGCAAAACTTTTGGTGTGGTCACACTGCTTCATTTCCACTTAGAGCACCTCCAGTAACTTCCTGCTGGAAGCCCATAACGCTTTATACCACAAATGTTCTGGTTTATTTTTGTGCCCCTCCAGACAGCAGTGACATGGTAGCATTAGGGAAGGGCCATAGCTCAGCCCTAGAGCATCTGCCTTGCATGCATGAAGTCCCAAGTTCAATTTCCAGGGAGAGAATCCTGCCTGAAACCTTGGAGATCTGAGCAGTGGTGTGACTTGATTTAAAGCTGCTTCCTATATTCTTAAGCAGGCATAGGTAAACTCAGCCCTCCAGATGTTTTGGAACTACAACTCCCATCATTCCTAGCTAACAGGACCAGCAGTCAGGGATGATGGGAGTTATAGTCTCAAAACATCTGGAGGGCCGAATTTGCCTATGCCTGTTCTTAAGCTTTGTAGAGCAAACTAAAGCAGATGAAACCCACCTCTAATGCACTATTATTATGTGAAGAACCTGTTGCAGAACACACCCATATTTAAGCACCGGTCTGGAGGGGCCCATAGTGACTATGAGACAGAAAGCAGGAGAAAAGGTGCTGTTGGATCTTTGTTGTTCGGAGCAGTTGACCAAAGGGTGTGTGTGTGTGTGTGTGTGTGTGTGTGTGTCTGCTTGTGAAATTCCCCTGATTTTGCTTCTCTCCGCTTCCAGATGAGAAGAATGGGCAGCAGTCCCGCTTGCCAGGCACTCCAACCCGCAGCTGCCAACCGTCTCGGCGCTCCGAATCCGACGTCTCGTCCGAACACCATCGACGCGGCTCCAAGGACAAGAAGCTCGTCTCGTCCAACGGGACTCAAGTCCAGCAACCACCACCCCCGTCTCCACAGCAGCCGTGACGTCTGGGGCAGGGGGGCAGCCTGAGGGCAGCTAGGGGGAAGAGCAGCCGAAGGAAGCCCACTCCGCGCCCCTGGAAATAGCTGGCAGCCGCTCCAGATGGACAGGAGGAGCCAACGAACCTGGACGGATGGGTAAAAGGCCCTGCACCAGAGACGCAGGCAGGGGCGGGGCAGGGCAGGGCGGGGTGGGGGTTTGGTCCAAGTTTTAACAACTCCGTCTCACCCCACCCCCTGGGGCGGAAAGTCGCCATCTTGGGAGCGGCCCATACTGTGAACTTGTAAATAGTTAACAACAACAACAACAACAGAAAACAAATCTACAAAAGAACCGAAGGGAAAGAAAAGAACAAATTATGGAGACAAAAAGAAAGGATGGCGGACTGGAAAAAAGAGAAAAGAAAACAAACAGAGGGGGGAAGGAAGAGGAGGAGCAAACCGGGCAGGAGCCGGTGGGGTTTGGGGTGGGGGTTTAATCCTATCCTTTTGGTTGGGGGTGGGAGTGGGAGGGAAAGTGGGTGTCTTTATTCACTTGAGCCCTTTTCACAGACTCCCTCCTGATTTCTGTTTTGGTTCTTTCCACAAGACATTCTCTTTCTCCTGCTTTTCCTTCTGTGGCCTCAGAAATAGTACACGCCCCCTCCCCCCGTATTCACAGGTTCATGGCGACAGTGACTAAAATCAGGAGACAGAACTAGTAGCAGAATTTTGGTTGATGGTTTGTTTGTTTTTTAACAATCAAGCGGAATATACATTTTATGAAATGGATAAATAAAATTGGTTGTCGCAGGAGAGAAAGTCAAAAACGTTTCCCTTCTGTTCCAACTTCTCTTTTAGTTTTCCTTCTCTGAGAAACTTAATTAGGCTAAAGTAAGGAAAGCATTATCGCCAGTTGGCGTAAAGCTTAAATATCCATTGGAACAATGTTCAAAAACCAAAGTTTGAAAAATGCCCCCCCCCCGCCCCAAATCTGAATTTTTGAATATATATGATTTTTTGGAGTGGGTGGGTGTGGTTGTAACTATTAAAGCAGTTTACTGAGAACTTTGCAAATTTACACAAAGGAGCAATTTGAAAAATGCATTTAAAGCCAAAAATAACTTTGAAAGCTCTGACAATGTCAGCAATCCATTTTTAACAAATTGCTACTTTTTTTAAAAAAAAAGGGGTGTTTGCTCACCCACCAGGAATAGTCAACATTCCCAAATTACCATTCTTCGTGTTTTTAAAATATAGCCAGGGCTTTGTTTCTAGAAAAATAGGTGCCAGTACTCAGCATGAGTTGTTATATTAAGTGCCACACTTTTTAACAATAACAAAAAGAGGCACTGGTACTGCATACCCTGAGTACCCCCTGAAGAAGTCAAAGCACGGCTTATGGCACAATGTGACTGCTTGCATTTTCCATTCCCATCCCTAACTTTTTATTCCGACTAAGTGACAAAAGTATCAGACTTATGCAACCACTCATTACAGTCACTGCTGGAAGGATCTTCATGATTCCTTCATAGACAGCGCAGTATGAGAGCAGGATTCAGCAAGAGCTGCAGAGGAGAGAATGGAATAGGCAGCTGCACTGACTTTGTTAGCTTAAAAAACAAACACTACCAGAAAGCCTTCAGTTTCCAACGTTAGAAATATCATGGCTCGAAATAGAAAAAGGTGTCTAAAACAAACCAGGATCAGATTTGAATAGATGTCTCTCACTCCTTTCAAATACATGTTCTTATTTTATGCAGGAAATTTTATCAAAGCCATTTGGGCTACTCCTGTGTTTCTAACAAGAAAAAAAGAGGGGCACAGATGAGTGAAGAATACCCTCTACTATCTCTTCCTGCTTCGCTTATCACCCTACATTAGGCCCCCCTTTCAGTATTTTCAAAAGCTCATCTATTGGTCTGCTAAATTTTCAAGGATATACCGTTAATTGAGGCCTAGCTTCTGTCTCGTGTAATTTTAGCAACCCCGCCAGAACTCCGGGTGGGTACATGACTCCCCTCCCGTGTCCCCGCTCTCCCTGCTCCTTTTTCCCTAAAGCTGAGCACCCATATGCACAAGGCACTATGAGGAGGGGGACAGATGGAGGGGGGAGGCTTTCAGAACATGCTGTGGTCTTGACAGAAGGCAGAGGGACCCCAGAGTCACCAGGCCAAAGACCTTAATGGAGGCATACTGGAGTGGCGTCATGAGGCAGGATTTCTGAGTGGCATTCGCAAGAGTGCGGAGGGTGGGAGCTGCAAAATTGGGAGCCAACGGCAGGATCAATGGGCATCCATCGATATGGGGAAGGGAGTCCAGGTTGGGTGACAGTGCAATAGGGTGGTGATGGTGGATTTTGAAAAAAGCAGTCCTGCTCCTATCCATTCCTCCTCCATCCCCCCCATCCTGCTCTGGACGGCTCTCTCCTCTCAGCTGGGGGGGGGGATGTGGGTGATGGCGCATGCGGGCGTGCAAATGGGCAGGAGACAACTATGTAACCTCCCCCCGCCACCCTCCTCCTGTGTCTGCCCATCCTCTCTCCTTTTGTGAACCCAACCTTATCTCTCGTGCACATACAACAACCCCACAGCCCATCTTCTCCCCACCCTTCTCTCTGGCTGTTCAACACCCCACCCCCACCCAAGCCTTTCATCTCCGGGGGTCTAATTATTGCTCAGAAGAAAAAAAAATACAAACAGACACTCAAATGTTTCCCTCGCTGCTGAGACTTGCCACGTGTTATTTCTGCCCAAGCTTCCGGGGGATTGCGGCCCTTTTGGCTTCCAGCTGGAAGGTGATGAGGTGGGGTTGTGAGAGGGAAGAGAAAGGGATCCATTGTTGTTTTTTAGGGGTGATGGCTCTGGTTAGGTCAAGGGTGCATCTTCACAGGGCTTTCACATGTGCAATGATACTGGATGGTGCAAGGGTAAGGTGGCCTTTGCACACGCACATATCCCCCAAAAGGGAGATTAAGAGTTGATGAAACACCAAACATTTACATCACATGGCTTCCCTTCGAAGAATCCTGGGGGCTATAGTTTGCCCCCCTCAGCTGCTGTTCCCAGCACCCATAACGACAGTTCCCAGAATTCTTTGGGGGAAGTCATGTGCTTTAAACGAATGATGTATAAACAGCCAAAGCCATCCCTGGGGCCATCAGTAGGTGGGGACCTATTCAAATCAGATGAGTTTCCACATTGGCTGTTTACGCATTGGCATGGAGATGCTGGTTGTGTAAACAGAGACTGTGGCTCCTGGAAATTATGCTTGCAGCGTGTTTTGTGAGTGGGCTCAGGACTCTGTGGGTATGCGAGTCTGGGATGAGAGCTCTGCATAAATGAGAGCATGCCGGTTGTGTGAATAAATGCGGACAGAAGTGTGGCTGGTGGGGAACACGAGGATAGGTGCTGTCCATATGGCAGAGAAGGGATGCTTAGTGCACAGTATGCCAAAAAGTGGCTAGATGGTGGTCAGTGTGTATGAACCTGCGTGCAACAGGGGCGGGAGAGAGGGGAGCACCTGATTCATGTGTTACTGCAAAGTGGCAGGGTGTGCTTCCATTTGGCTCTGGTAACATGCAAGTAAAGGAGCCCCCAGGCTATGCAAAGGTTCTCAGGGAAGGGCAATGCTAGCACAGGAAGCGACACGGAAAGAAAACATCAGAAAGAGTTCCCAGAGCAAACGGGCTTTGTGTATCCCATGTGTGGGTATAGCAGGGGTGGGATTGTTGAATGACTTCTCTCTGTCCATTGGGCCATGCTGATTGAAGCCAATAGGAGGGGCCAGCAGACTGGGTGCTGCCCGTGCAGGTGGACCATGGTGCATGAGGAAATGGGAGTGTAGGAGCACGTGTATGAGAGAAAATGGCAATTTTGCACTTTTCCAGCTCCCCTTGGATTTTGAGCTGCTTCCCAATGAAACACAAGTCTTCTCTTCCATTGTGGCACATCTTGAGTACAAGAATCTGCTTTGTGTCTTTAGATCAAATCTAGAAATCCTACCCTTTCAACCCCAAGTCCCATTAGCCTTCTGAGGAATCTTGCCAGTGGTCTTCAGCTCATTTAAACACCGCACATAAATTGGCTGGAATTGTATTAAGCCTGCCACGCCAGCTCTGATTTTAGGGCAAATAAATAAGCGCTTCCACGGCTAGCTACCCAGAACTTCCACTTTATTAACTATCCTTTCTTAGGAAAGGAAAGAAATTAGACTGGAGGTTCAGTTTGTAGCTATAAAGTAGGGATAACGTTCACTTTAACCTCAAGGCAGGAGTCTAATAAGGGATAAAGAAGAATAGTTTTTTTGCTTTTGTTTAAAAAGAGTTTCTCACATTAAGTTAGAGGGACCTACTTTTCCAGTTGTGGAAGAATGGATTGAGCAATGCTCCATTGGGAACATAAAAAAGGAAGGCAAGACTTCAGTATTCATCTGTATAATAGGATAATACAACACCTTTCCTAACAGGAGAGCAAAGGTGCCCACTTTTCCATCAGAGGAAGGACACACACAGTTGTTGATACTGCCAGAGCATAATGAAAAAACCTGGATCCACGCACATGAGTGACTGGAGAGGTGTGTGAGAGCTTTAAGGAGCTGGACCTAGTCTTTCTGGCACAATATCATCTTATCCACCCACCCAACAGCTTCAGAAACAAAAAATTCATCTGTGTGTGTGTAGAGGCTGTGGTTGAAAGACACAACCACCGTGTCGGGATACTGTTTAAACTGGTGTAAGAATATGTGCCTAAGCGACTCACACAGTTTGACCAGACCGTTGACTGGCAGCAAGATTCGTTGCACCAAAGCAGACTGTGGAGGAGGTGGGGGGGGGTCTCCCTGTCTTCCCCTCCCATATATTACTGTGGAGGGAAGCATAGGAGAGAATGGCTCCTCACAGCCATCGGTGCTGGAAAGAGTTACTAGGCCCATCCACGCGACAGAGAAAGCAAGGTCCGGGCACATCAGCCAATGGCGGGTGCTGATGTGTGCGTCACACAAAGATGGGCCTGGGACCCTTCTAGATCACTTTGGTTTTCATATACAGCGGTGTGGAGATGGGTAAGATGAAGTACTGGCAGTGGCGGGGATTTTGCAGCCACCAGTGGGAGGATGCTAACAGAAAATAAAACAAGACACTTTTAAAATACTGTTTTGCAGAGGAAATGGTTGGTGGGTCCTTTTGTGAGGGGAGGCGAAGAGCTGCCCCTACTCAGCAGAAGGCGGCGGCTAAATGTTATGAAGAGCACCGAGGAGGAGATTTGTCTGAGATGAGTGACAAGTCAGGGAGACTCTCCAAAATGGCCAAAAAACCCCGACTGTAGGCCGTCCCACAAGGGAGTCCCACACCCCAGCAGAAAAGCTGGGAACTACTTCACTCGCCATCAGAAGACATGGCAAGGCATGATCTGGTCCACTGGAAAAGGATTCCAACTGTGTGGAAAGTTTTGCAGAGACCCCTTCTTCCCCCCATGTCCATAAAGAGGTATCAGAGAGGGAGAGTCTGCGTTGACGTCTGTATGTCTTGAGCTGCTTGGTCTGCCCGCTGGTGATAGACGTGAACTGAGCAGGTCCCCATGTGCCAGAAATCCACTGCAAAGAGCCCAAAGAGAAGGAAGAGGACCATGGCCAGAGCCCATTCGCAGTAGGCCGACTCAGAATGCAGCTTCAGGAAAAAGAGCACAATCGCTGGGATTAAAGGAGTCAAGGAGAAAGGAGCCAGAGACGGTGCATCTGTTATTCCCAAAAGAGATATAGGTTGCACACACACACCATGCATTTAAAGCACATAGCTTCCTCCACAGAATCCTGGGAACAGTAGTTTACCCTTCACAGAGCCACAATTCCCAACACCCTTAAACTACAGTTCCCAGGTCTTTTATTATTATTATTATTATTAAGGGGTAGAATGTGCTTTAAATGCACGGTGTATATGCAGCCTTAGGTAAGACTGAGGAGAGGCCAGACCTAGTTCCACTTTGTTTTGGATGTGGGGCAGGACAAGATGCATTTGGTAGGCCGCAGCCTCCTTAACGGCCACTGTTACCAGCTCAACAGGGAAAACTGGCAAGCAAGCAGTGACAACAGCAGGAGATGTTGCTGCTTTTCATTTGCCCGCCCCCCTGGGCCAGTGGGTGGGTGAGCAAACAGGCAAGAACAGAGCTAGCAAACGGCTGCCAGTGATGTCTGCTCTGTCCCCTCATGCCAGGCTAAGGGCATTTGCCTGACCATGCCAACTCCTGGCACTGGCCTCAGAAAAGTCCCAGGTTCTGGGCTGCCTGGGCTCCTAATGAATACTAAGAACATTTTTTAAAGAAACTTTCCGGGACCACTTGAAGCCAGTCCCTAAGGATGTGAGTGAATGTGTTTCCAGTTCTGTATAGCACATCAAAGAAAATCCAATTGAGGCTAAACAGCAACTTGGTATAACAGATAATAGATGTGAAACTGTGCCCTTCAACCTCCCAAACACACTACCTATCAACTAACCCCAAGCTGCTTCATGTTGATAACAATGCAGATAATACCTGTCTCTTCCCTTAGAACACAGGAAGTTGCCTTATTCTGAGTCAGACCGATGGTCCATCCAGGTCAGTATTGTCTATGCAGTCTGGCAGCAGCTCTCCAGGATTTTAGGCAGGGAATATCTCCCAGCCTTACCTGGAGATGCTGAGAGACTTGAACCTGGGACCTTCTGCATGCAAAGCAGATGCTCTGCCGCTGATCTATGGATCCTTATAAAAGCCCTCCACGTACTCTGCAATTTCCCCTCCTGCATCTTTAAAGACAACGCTCTAGTTCAGGATACTGGCAATGAGAAAGGCAGAACCACAGAAGCTGAGGGAGAATCTGAGGGGCCCGATCCACCACCCTCCGTGCCTCGGCTTCACTCGGTTGGTCAGGAAAGTTTGGACCCAGAAATAAAGGATGCCCACCACAAAAGCCAAGAAGGCCCCAACTAAATGGGTTTCTATCTGGTTTTTTTCCTGTAGGGGAAAGAGAACAGAGTACATCAACAGAGCAAATCCCTCCCCACCAAGGTCATTTCATGTTCTAGTTCATCAAAATCCTTTTCAATGAAATTCACAAGCCCCAATTTTAAGACAAACCACGTCCCCATCACCTTTTTAAAGTGTGTAGAGATGTGCAGGAAACATCCTAGACCCCCCCCAAATACCCCACAATCTTCTGCATCCCTAGCAAAGGTGAGATGGGTGGGCCTCTTCTGACCACCCCTGTCATTTAAGGACCATCCCTACTGAGACCTCCTCCTCTTCATTTTTGGTAAGGCTTGTCAACACCCCTCCCCATCTGCAGCTTCTTACCTGGAAATTGCCCACCATAGATGACCCGAGGGCACAGAGTAGGCCGAAAATGAGCCCAACTAGATTTAAACGGGAATGACAGCCATAATCCCGCACCTGTTGGTATTTCAGAAAGCAGATCACCGCGCCTGGAAGAGATGTCAGTTATTGAGGCTGATATAGATCCATCCTTTCATTTGCTGTCCCAGAGCCACCACGTGGTCCATACATGTCACTGAGAGGCAGACTCTAAAGTAGAAGACAGCCTTTCCCTCCATAAATTTGCCTAATTTTCTTTTAAAGCCATTCAAACTGGTGTCCTATCATTACATACTGTGGTAGCAAATTTCATATTTCAACTATGTGCTGGGAGAGAAGTTACCTTATTTTCTTTCATCTGCCCTGAATCCTCAAAAACCCTTTGGGGTCTTGTATTATAAGAGAGGGAAGAAAGCCTGTCTCATTTCCAATGATAATAATTCTGTACACCTGTATCATATCCCCCACGCTTGCCTTTCTTTCTAGACTAAAAAGTCTCAACCTTTCCTCATGATTCAGTTGTTCCAATCCCACCGTTATTTCAATCGTAGAAGAAGAAGAGTTTGGATTTGATATCCCGCTTTATCACTACCCTAAGGAGTCTCAAAGCGGCTAACAATCTCCTTTCCCTTCCTCCCCCACAACAAACACTGTGAGGTGAGTGGGGCTGAAAGACTTCAGAGAAGTGTGACTAGCCCAAGGTCACCCAGCAGCTGCATGTGGAGGAGCGGAGACGCGAACCCAGTTCACCAGGTTACAAGTCTACTGCTCTTAACCACTACACCACACCTGGGTCCTTTGCCAGGACTACAATATCCTGTTTAAGGTGCATCTTCTGAAGTGTCATTGCAGCACAGATTTGTTGAAAGGGCTTACAGGCCTGGTGGTTTTCTTTTCAACTCCTTCCCCAATGAATCCCTAACATGGCATTTGTTCCCCTCCACACATGCACCTGCTGCGCCGACACCATCCTAACTGGGCATCCTCCACAGACAGAAATATGGACAGTTATTGACCAGAGCTAAGAATTAAAATGAGAGAGGAATGAACCTCAGGCTCAGAGCCAGTGTGGTGTAGTGGTTAAGAGCGGTAGTCTCATAATCTGGGGAACCGGGTTCGTGTCTCCGCTCCTCCACATGCGGCTGCTGGGTGACCTTGGGCCAGTCACACTTCTTTGAAGTCTCTCAGCCCCACTCACCTCACAGAGTGTTTGTTGTGGGGGAGGAAGGGAAAGGAGAATGTTAGCCACTTTGAGACTCCTGAAGGGGAGTGAAAGGCGGGATATCAAATCCAAACTCCTCCTCCTCAGGGGACAAACGTGACCCTCCTCATCTCTTTATCTGACTCTCAAGAGTCTCCTCAGGCCACACTCCCTCCCCAGCCCCTCACAGGCTTGGCTTTGCATCTTCCTTGAGTGCTTTTGCTAGGAGGCATCCTTGCACTCAGACAATGCCTCTTGGATGGAGCATAGAGAGGCGTGTGTGTGTGAATCTCTGTAGAAACCAGCCTACTGTACCAAAGGTAAAATTTGCATTAGTTGCTCCACCCACTTTTGCCCATGGCCCCACCCACCACTGGCAAGTGGCCCCTGGAAGGTTGCCCAGAAAGGCATGTGGCCCTTGACCAGGAAAATGTTCCCTGCCCCTGAACTAAAAGGTGAGGGCTATCCCTGATTAAATATGGAGCACTGGTGGCACATGGCAGCAAAAGGAAAGAGACCAAGAGAGATAGGGCTTACCTAGAAAAGCTCCTAGATTAAGAACTTGACCAAAGACACAGCTCTGGGGTGGGGAGGAGCCACATGTGCTGGAGGAAGACAAGGGGGGGGGAATTCATACAGATTGCAGCTGAGTTTAGAAGCTGGCCCCTTAGACTCCCCCCGGCCCATCAATAGAAGCAATTCAGTGCACAGAAACAGCCCTAGTTCATTGGTCCTAGTGTGGTGGAACCCACTCCTGGATTGCAGCCTCATCCAATGTGGGTCACAGCGCAGCTGCACTGCTACCATCCATATATAGGGTAGAGTATAAAATAAAAGTGAGAAATTGGTCTCCAAATGTGTGTTTGGGGTAAAGGGGGAGTCCTGGGGCTGAAAATGATGCACACCGATTGCTGAGTAGTCTAGTTAGGCCTGGATGGGGCAATAGTCCATCCTTCTCCTCTAGGCTGGTCCAGGCCCTCTTGCTGCCTGAAGTGAAGGACACAGTGGCACATCGTCCCCATCACACACCCCAAAGCCATTTTGGATGGGTCTGATGGAAGTTGTAGACTGGAAGATCTGGAGAACATCAGGTTGGCTATGGCCCACTTGTTCCACAAGATTTGAGGCTGTCACTCAAAAGGGTTCTCTTCAATAGAGAGAATAACTTGACTTCCTGAAAAGAAGGAAGCTAGAGAAGGGTGGGGTTTTTTTGGGGGGGGGGTGTTGGAAGACTTTCTCAGAAACCCAGTCAAGCCATACCTGATATATGGAAAAGCTTCTGTGATGTTTACAGATCCATTTGCAACAGCCATGGCATACCTGAAAAGGGGGGGAGGGGGGGAATCTCATTAATTGGCTGGAGTTGCCAAACTAACGCTTGTTTTTCAAATTCTTCCCAATAAGTTTAAAGTATACTCTGTCACACACTTAGTCCCTGTTTTTTCATTTTTGAATAATATTATATCACTACACTTTGTAGCCAAGACTGTTCTTCATCAAACAAACTTGCCTGTCAAGAAAAAAAGAAGAAAAGTGGGGGGGGGGAGCGGGGAAATGACATATGAAGGAGAAAAGGGGCAGCAAAAAAACAACAAATCTCTAAAGTACTGTACAGTGAATAGATTAAAAGGGAAAATATAAACATGTACATTGTCATCCCAAACATGTAAAAACAAAGCCCACCTCTCAATAAATTTCCTTCCTTTATTATTATGTATTGCATTTCTCTACTATAACTGATTGGCTAGGAAAACCTGGCAAACTATCTTGATGATAAAAGTTACACACTTGCTCACTCCACACACACACACACACACACACACACACACACACACACACACTGTGCCTCCAGGCTGTCTCTCCTTTAAGGTGAGATTTCATCCAAAGTGGCAAATTTCAGTCGCGCAATTATAGTCGCACAACAAACCTGCTCCACTAACCCCCAGAGATGGGCCTTTTTTGCAATAAGGAAAGTGAGTGAGGACACTTCCTTTGACGCACCATCATCTAACCTCCAAATGAGTGTTTGTTAAATAGCCAACATCCTCTCATCTCCCTGCAAACAAATCAGAGCGAACGCCCAGTTCACCTGAAAGTGCCCCAGAGTTCATGGGGCAGTTTCCCCGCAAAGAGAGAATGCTGGAGGCATGCGGGTGGTTGCTGTTTTAGTGTGCAAAACAGAGCGAGAGAGACAGCTACAGCCTCCAAGCACCTGGGAGTAGAGGGAAGCAGTAGACCTGGCAGTGCCTCGTTAGAAATTAAAGGCTGCCCACCCTAACTACACCTCTGCACATTTTGTCCTGTGGCACAAAGTACAAGTGCTGCCAAATCAATGGCTACTAGCCATGGCAGCTCTGCTCTGTCTCTGTGGCCAGAGGCAGTAATGCTTCTGAATCCCAGCTGCTGGAAGCCGCAGGAGGAGAGAGGGCTCCTGCTAGATGCCCTGCTTCCCATGGGCATCTGCTTGGCCCCTGGGAAAACAGGATGTTGGACTAAATGGACCCCTGGCTCGTCATATGCTCTTAGCAACACCTGCACACCAGACGAAATTGAGCCAGCTAACCTAGTTGGCAGACATTTGTTACGATTACAGGACTTTAAAAACAGCAGCACCACAGTGGTCCAGATCCTTTGCATATGGTGACCAAGCTGGCTCACGAAAGGTTAGCGAGCTAGGTGTGTGTGTCACTGTACGGTTGCCAGCTTGCGAAAGAAGAGGAAAGAGAAAGCCCTTGTCCCTTTAAAATAGGTATTTGGCGTGCAGATCTCAGCAAGCGAAGCGCCTTTGCGGTGAGCTGCAATCCGCTGCCAATTGCTCCAGATCAAAATGCTGTTAAAGGGGTCAGTTCCACGTTGGCACCCTGCTCTGTTTGAACAAAGTCCCTGTTTCCACTAGGAATTTGACCTGCAGGCAGCGGAAAACTTTGCTGGGTTGTAATTATCTGGTATTGCAAAAAAGAACACAAGAAAACTGTCTTGCGTCAGGCCCAACTATTTATCCGTCATCCGTATTAGATACTATGACTGATGGCAAATCTCCAGGATCTCAAAGAGAGGCCGTTTCTATCACCTGTGACCTGATCCTTTCACCTGGACCCGCCAGCAATGGAACACTGAAGCTTAGCTCAGGGACAAAGCTTCTGCCTTGTATGCAGAAGTTCCCAGGTTCAATCCCCGGTGTCTCCAGGTAGGGCTGGGAGAGATCCTCCATCGGAGACATTTAAGAAGCATTGTTAGTCACTGCAGACAATCCTGCACTGTATGGACTCAGTATAAGGCAGCTTCAGATGTTCTACCATTGAGCCACTCTCTCCCTATACCAGACTGGAGTTGACATGATCCCATTTCCCAAAATCCAGCTCTATCACTGCCGGGCTTAAAGCAAGCACACAAATACACATACATACACACTCCCACATCCCACCCACTCCGCTTTGCTTATTGTTACTCACACAACCCAGAAGCCGGCAATACCTCCTACAGCTAGGAGTACAGGAAGGAGAGCCCAGAGCCACATGGTGGCGGAAGACCTAAAGGCAAAAAATATAAGGGAACCATCAAGAGCAGCCTGAGATTCTTGGGTTCTTTGGGAACAAGGTGGGTTAAAGCTGAAGGAAGCCTGGGGAGGAGACCAGATCCCTGGACTCTAGGGATCCATTGTGATTTGGTGGTCTTGAAAGAGCAGAAAGGCCGAATCCTACAATTTCGGGGGTTTGGGAAGTAGGTTAGGTCACAGCAAGCCAGGATTCCTGGGTTCTCTGGCTAAGCCCTTGATAACTGGAAAACTCTGCTACGTCCAAGGGGCCTTATTGCTCCTCACTGCCTTGCTCTGCGCTGCAGGAATTAAAACAAACAACAACACCACTAGAAAGACTTCTGCTAATGGTATACTAATAAACTTCCCCCGCCACGCCCCTCCCTCAGCCACCACCCAGCAGGGCTGAGCTCCTGCCAGTAATCAAAGCAAAAGATTTTAAAGCAAAAGTCCATGGGAAGGTGGGGAAATGACCTGAAATCAGAGCAACACCCTAGCTACATCATCACTCGGAGACTGGCAACAAGCTGGCTGCAAATTATACTGCGCAGCAGCAACCGGGGCTTCCTTGTGGGGCTTCCGAGCAGGGAGTTTGAGAATCAAGGTTTTTGGTTTCTGTTTCCCTTCAGAGTCTTCAGGAATATCAAGCGATTCCTTACCCAGAAATTATCCGCTAGCTGCGTCCTTTTTTCTCCGCTCAGGAACACGTCTTTCTCCCTAGCAGGTAGCAAGGTTAGTGTGCCAGCGCTCCTTCCGATAAACCTGCCCCAACTCCATCTCTGGGACGGGCAAAGGGCACTGTGAGGGCGCTATCTGCCTGTGACTTTTGTCCCCAAGGCGTGCCATTCTGCTGCCACACAGATGGCGCTTGGAGAAAGAGGGACCACTCTGCGGCGTGACGCAGTTTATCAGTGCAACGTGTGCTTTTCTAACGGACAACCACGGTTGCTGGATTTCTTACGAGGGATAGCTCCAGACTGGCATTTTTCGGCGTGGATCTCTTCGGCAGCATGCCAGTGACACAATAATAGTGCATCAATGGTGGGATAACACTGGACTGTCCACACACACACCGCTCCACTGTATCAGTTGTGATGCTCCATCAATGTCGCCGCATTTATTGCCACCTGCAGAGGCGCTCTTGCACTATAGCGCCACAAAAGTGAGAGAACGGGAACTGCGGAACATTTGCATTGGGCTTGAAAGGCTGCAGGGTTTCAACAGGAAGTTATGGGATGCGTGCTGCTAGGAAGTGAAGCAGTACGCCCTCCCTGAAACTTCTGCAAGTTCAAGTATTATTGAAAGCAGTATCGTGCATAACCGCCACACTGAACACAAATTACCATGGATGCACAATAAAAAAAGGTAGCCAGGCAGGGAAAGGAAGGGAAAGGAGATCTGGGAGTACAGTGGTACCTTGGGTTAAGAACTTAATTTGTTCCGGAGGTCCGTTCTTAACTTGAAACTGTTCTTAACCTGAGGTACCACTTTAGCTAATGGGGCCTCCCGCTGCCGCCGCACAATTTCTGTTCTCATCCTGAAGCAAAGTTCTTAACTCGAGGTACTATTTCTGGGTTAGCGGAGTCTGTAACCTGAAGCATCTGTAACCAGAAGCGTATGTAACCTGAGGTACCACTGTATAGGATTAGAGGAGTGAATTTGTGGGAACCAGGAGGGAAGACTGCTGGGTTATGGCAAGGTTACCAGGAGCCGGAATAGGTCAGCATATCCAGATTAACATTCTGGAAGTGGTGTCTTGAAATTAGAGAAGAGAGGAGCATCACGTTCTGTACCTCTGGCAGTAAAAAGTTTTGGGATGTACCTATTGCTGCAGAAGCATAAGTTCTGCTGCCACCAACGCAGCTGTGTCTAATATTAGTCTGCCGGCTGCAAGGTAAGTTCACCTGTTGCCGATGTAGCTTACCTGAGGTGCGAGAAGCTCTTTGGCAAGTTTCTAGGGACCTTGACTTGACGAAACTGGAAGAGGGCTCGTGGAAGTCCTTGGCAGGCTGTCCAGGGCACGCAGGTATCGCAAGGCATTTTATGACCTGAGGATGAAAAAGAAAAGTTGCCAGTTGCCCTATTTTATAACCTGTGGAGTGAACCTCTGTTTAGCCTGAGAACAGCGGGCTACGATGGTTTGTGTGACACCATGGGGAGGGTTCCCCTGCATGCAAAAATGGTGGAATCTGCTATTGTAAGATGTAGGGGTGACTGCTGACCCGGACAGTGTTAAAAGGGGATGGGAATTGTAGAGTTGGAAGGGACCCCGAGGGTCATCTAGTCCAACCCCCTGCAATGCAGGAATCTCATCTCAAGCATCCATGACAGGTAGTTCTTTCTGCCTAGGTGCAGAAGCTCCCTATTGAAATTCATTTTGCCAGTTTGGATCCCAGTTCCCCAATCCGTTAAGACCATCTTGAATCCAGATTCTGTCTTCTGTGGCATTAGCTACCCTTCCCAGTTTGGTGCCCTCTGCAAAGGGGTCATCCATACAGTGGTATCTCGGGTTAAGAACTTAATTCGTTCTGAAGGTCCGTTCTTAACCTGAAACTGTTCTTAACCTGAGGTACCACTTTAGCTAATGGGGCCTCCCGCTGCCGCTGCGCTGTTGCCACGTGATTTCTGTTCTCATCTTGAAGCAAAGTTCTTGACCCGAGGTACTATTTCTGGGTTAGTGGAGTCTGTAAGCTGAAGTGTCTGTAACCTGAAGCGTCTGTAACTCGAGGTACCACTGTACTTACATTTGCTTTGCACTTTCTAGGCACAAGTCTGGACTTTCCAGATCCGTATCCTGGTTTGTTGTGGTTGTTGTTGTCCTGGCGCTTTAACCCAGGAATATCCACGTTTTACTGCTGAATGGCTGTCCGCAGGAAACCCATATGGCTAGATGCGATTCCTCCAGCACTGGGATTCATGTGTGGGAGAGTTGCTCATGTCCCGCCCACATGACTCTCGTAGGCATCTGATTGGCCACCATGAAAGCAGGACGCTCGGCTTGAGCCACATTTACACCACACATTTAAAGCACTATGATACCACTTTAAATAGTCATGGCTTCCTCCCCCAAAGCATCCTGGGAAATAAATTTTGTTAAGGGTGCTGCTGAGAGTTGTTAGGAGACGCTTGTTCCCCATACAGAGCTACCATTCCCAGAGCCCCTGTAAATTGACTGATTAATTGACTGTTAAAGCACTCTGAGAATGGAGGGACGACTAGCAGAGCCGGAAGGTGAACAGTTACACAAAGGTAAGAGTTTCCTCCATTTCTCTGCTCACTTTTTGCCTGTCCTTCTGGGAAGGGCATTTACAAGACTGGGGCCTGGAAAAAGGTACTCCTGGAGTTGTGGAAATACTAAAAACTCAATGATGGCAGACAAAGCGAAGAAGGAAAGGACTGCAGTTTTCTCCCCGCCAGCCCCTAGCTGAAAGTTTGAATGTTTAGCTCAAGACAATAACAATTGTATAGATTGATTCCTCTGAAAGAAAGATAATAGTTGGAGAGGCCTAACAGAGACACACAGCAGGGGAGGCTGCCTTTGCAAGGATCGATGCCGAGATGGAAGATGCGCCGAATGATTCTGTACGTGGGCATTTTTTGCTTTGTTGTCGGAGAAGGTGGGTAGATGAGTCACTGAGCAAATTGACAAAATTGCAAACGTAGTTTCTGTTAACAGAGGCTGAGAGCGACAGAGACAAGAAGCTAAAGGCAACAAAGGAATCTGGATAACTCCCCACCCCCCACCCCGGCCTTGCTATGTTTGTTTACTTATGGACGTTTCACCAATTGCAGCACAAAAGAACAATCTGTGAAATGGGTAGAGTTTCCGGTCGGTGCCAGCGCTTAATGGCGGTCCTGCCTCCGAGCTCCGGAGAAGGACTGCTTCGCAAGTTCGGGTCTTACCCGCTACGGCAAGCGGGGGACCCCTAAAATCCCAGGCGCTGAAGCCTGAGAACAAGGAGACTCGGTGGGCACCTTTGCGCCCCCCGGTACCGTGAAAGAGCCTTTTTAAAGGCTACGGATCGACATCGGGAGTGAGCGCGGTGCTGAGAGTCGCTACCCAGCCTGCGAAGTGAAGCCGCGTCGCCATAAGCGGAGAGCGCCGATTCCTTCCTGAAAAGTAAACCTGGACTGAATTCCCGTGAGTAAGAGCTGGAAAATAATTGGGACCTTCAAAATTTTGTAAAATTGGGCTGAAAACGGGGAGATTTAAATCAAGGAAGTCTGCCTCCCCCCGACTGCATGAAAGCGAAAGCAACGGAACTCTAAACGTGCATCCGTTGAAGCCTGTTTTTTGATCTGCTAAACCGGACATTTAAACCTTTGATCTCCCCTCTAGCTAGCAGGGCAGAGGGGAGGTGAATGAGACTAATAACTGCATGATTTATCTGAAGTAAAAAATCTCTGCTGTCTTACCTACTGAAAGTATGAAACGGTCTGCCTTTTTGGGACACTGAACTGACTTTTCCCTGCAAAGTGACACTTTGTTACAAAGTTTTCACAGTGCTTGGCTACAGTATATTACAAGAAGAAGCAGTACAAATTGGGTAACTGTGGCAATTTGAACTTGCAAGTTTCCAGAATTATTGACTTGATTTGTGTTAAGCCTCCTTTTTTCTGCATTTCTGGATATTCTCCTTTGTTTTTGTATTGGGACATTTTGTTCTATGGCCATTTTGATTTGCTCCCTCTAGAGGATAAAGTAAAGTCCGGCACGGCCTAAGACAGTGGAATTTTCCAACGAAGAACAAATACCGTGGGAAGTGACCTTGACATGAGCGGCCCACAAGAAGAGATTGTAACAAGAGCTAAGACCAAGCAACAACAACAACAACAGCTGCAGCAGCTACAGACAAAGAAAAGAGGCTCAATTACAGGAGTTACAGCTGGACTAGCAGGAACTACAGGACAAGATAAAGGAACAGCCGCTTCTATGGAAGCTGTGACAGATGCTCTGCTCAAGATAAACCAAACTCTGGAGTCTTTGACAAAACAGACTTCAGAGAATACACAAAAACTAACAGAAATATCGGTAAGATTAAACCAGAATACAGAATCCATAAATAAATTGGTGGAGGAAAACGCCACCACACGTAAAATTGCTGAAGAGGCTAAAGCGACTGCTGGAGAGACCCAGGAGAAATTAGAGCCGATTGCTAAGAAGGTTTATGAGCACGATGCAACCTTGGCCTTGTGGGACCTACAGAGAAAAGAGAGAAACTTGAAACTAAGACTGATTCCGGAGAACGAAAGAGATAACCTTGTGGAATATCTGACTCAGGAGTTTGTGGATTGTTGGGGCCTGGAGGAAGACGAATTTAAAATCACGACAGCTTTCAGATTAGGTAAAAAGCAAGACAGAAAGATTCCAAGAGACTGTTTGATCACATTTAGATCCAAGGAGGAAAGAGATAAAATATTAGGACTGCACTTTGAGAAGGCCTTGCGAATCGGAAACTCAGCTGTACAGATCTTTAAAGACATCCCAAAATATATTTTGGATTTAAGAAATTTCTACAAGGATTTGGTTCTTCTGCTGAAGAAAAATTCCATCCGCTTCAGGTGGGAGTTCCCACAAGGACTGTCATTTGATTACAAGCAAAAGAAGGTGAAGATAAAGACAATTCAAGACAAGGATAAATTTCTGGCAAGAAACCAGGAGGACCTACAGAAGGGGACTGTGGATGCAATTGCAGAACAGAGGAGAGCATTGGAGATTTTGAACCTTTCGTTCGGACAAAAACCACCGCCATCAGAAGAAGAGCAACAGCTTGGAGCTGTTGGAGGAGTGTAGAAAAATAACAAGATGGCTTTGCAATTCCTTAGTTGGAATTGCAATGGGCTCAATGGGCCTTTGAAGAGAAGACAAGTATTTCATATATTGAACAAAGAACAACTGGATTTGATATGCCTACAAGAAACTCACATAACCAGAGCCCACAGGAGATTACTCATTAATAAAAGGCTAGGACAAGAATTTATTTCATCAGATAAAGTCAAGAAAAGAGGAGTTGTAATATATGTGAAAGAGAAATGGGCCCCAAAAATGATATTCAAGGACGAACAAGGGAGATATCTGGCAGTGGAAATACAAGTTCAAGGAGAAAAATTTTTAGTGGTTGGAATCTATGCACCGAATGAAGGCAAATCTGACTTCTTTAAGAGACTTCATGAAACCCTGACTGACCATTTGGATTACAATATGATAATTATGGGAGACATGAATGGCGTGGTCTCCACTAACATGGACAAGGCACAAAGATTAACAGTAAGTAAGGAAGGGAGACTCCCTAAGACTTTTTTTGAAATGACAGAAAATATGGACTTGATAGATATATGGAGAACAAGGAACCCTCTGGAGAGAGAGGGAACTTTTTTCTCCCAAGCAATGATGACCTGGACAAGAATCGATCAAATTTGGATCACTAGTGGAATGGCTCCAAAGATTAAGAAAGTGGAAATCTGTCCAAAAACTTGCTCCGACCATAACGCCCTGAAGATGGAGATGAAAATTACAACAACTGGTCAATTTAGATGGAGAATGAATGACAGCCTCTTTCGAGATAAGGAGATTCTCACGAAGGCCCAAAAGACTTTAAAAGACTACTTTGAAATAAATCTGAGGACCGACGTGGAGAAAAGAGTGATCTGGGACGCAAGCAAGGCAGTAATGAGAGGATTTTTGATACAACAAAACTCAATAAAGAGGAAAAAACAGAATGAGAAAAAAGAAAAGATTTTGGAAATGATAAAGGAAGGAGAGAGAAAATTAAGAACAAAACCAAAGTCTCAGGAAATCCTAAGAGAGATCAAGCTGTATCAAACACAATATATGGAATTGATGAACCAAGAGATCGAATGGAAGATAAAGCAAATGAAGCAAAAGACTTTTGAATCAGCAAATAAATGTGGCAAACTCTTGGCATGGCAACTGAAGAAAAGGCAGAAATTAAATACAGTTACAAGCCTAGAGGTGGATGGGAAAAATATATCTAAACCCAATGAAATTAGAAACTGCTTTTTAAGTTATTTCAAAAAACTTTATACTCAAGGCCCTCAAAATGAAGAAGATATAGATAAATTCCTTGAAAAATATGGATTACAAAGCATCTCTCATCAAAGTAAGATGGATCTGAACCAGAGAATTTCAGAACAAGAGATAGAGGCCGCCATTCAGAATATGCAATTGGGCAAATCTCCAGGACCAGATGGATTGACTTCTGGATACTACAAATCATTGAAGGAATGGTTGATTCAACCATTAAGAGAAGTTTGTAATGAGATCCTTGAGGGAAAAAAGGCACCTGAATCGTGGAAAGAAGCATATATTTCACTCATACCAAAATCAGAGACTGAAAAGACCCAACTTAAGAACTACCGCCCAATATCATTACTTAATGTGGATTACAAAATTTTTGCAGACATTTTAGCAAAAAGACTTAAAAGAGTGTTGATGGAGAAGATTCATAGGGACCAAGCAGGCTTTCTCCCTAAAAGACACCTGGCAGATAATGTAAGGAATGTAATAGACATTCTGGAAAAGTTAGAGGTGAATATAAACACTAAAGCAGTTCTGATCTTTGTGGATGCGGAGAAAGCCTTTGACAATATTTCTTGGAGTTTTATGAGGAAGAATCTTCATGGGATGGGGGTAGGCCAGGGTTTTGAGAATGGTATGGCTGCAATATATTCAGAACAAAAAGCTAAACTGATTGTAAATAATGTTGTGACTGAGGAACTTAAGATAGAAAAAGGAACACGACAGGGGTGCCCGATTTCCCCATTACTTTTTATATCAGTTCTGGAGGTGTTGCTGAACATGATAAGAAATGACCAGCAGATCAAAGGGGTGCAGGTCGGAGCTAAACATTATAAGTTGAGAGCGTTTGCAGATGACTTAGTATTGACTTTGCAGGAGCCAAACACTAGCACGAAAAAGGCTTTAGAAATAATACAACAGTTTGGCCAGGTAGCTGGA